AATAATACGCAAACAATGAACTCTGTATGATTTAAATTGTTTCTAGGTGTCAAAGGCGAACCAGGTATACCTATTGTTGGACCAAAAGGTTCAGAAGGTCTTCCAGGTGAAAAGGGCGAGAGAGGTAACTATAATAGTTAATATCATAAATACTATTTAAAAAAAATAATTTATTCACTGTTTTCAACGATATCATATCAATTATTATAATATATTATTTAACTTTGATCAGGTCTTCAAGGGCCGTTTGGAAGACCAGGACTGTCTGGTGAACCGGGTATGTTAAAGATGGTTCAAACATCTGAATACAGTATATTAAATTGAATAGAATATATAAAGGCAGTTTTTTTATATAAATTTTAGGAACTCCTGGATCACCTGGTGAAAAAGGAAGTCAAGGTAATATCGTAAAAGATTTTGAATTTTAATATGATAATTTGGGCATTTGCATCGTATTTTTAAATTTGTTATTGATGATATTTATATAATGATGTGTTTCTACTTAGGTGAACCTGGCTTAGAAGGATTAACTGGACAGGCTGGAACTAAGGGTGAACCCGGTGAGTACTTAAAATGTAAATAATACATTAAAAACCTTTTATAATAAAATCTTTTGAATTTTCATCCAACAGGCCCGGTTGGACCAAGTGGACCCCCTGGTAATGATGGTCTACCTGGCTTAGACGGTCCAAAAGGTAATAGTTTAAATAAATTTTTACTCAAAAATACAAACCATCATTGTTTATAATAACTACCTTGCTTAATAATAACATTTTCACAATCGAACATTTACAAGTAACTTATAAGCTTGATTCATTGTGTTAACATGATATCTAGGACAAAGCAACTCGTGCTTTTTTTTACATACCTGCCAAGTTTTTGAATACTCATGTAAACAATTTTTGAGTGCCATTTATGTTATATTTTGTACCTATATATTATTTACCCATTCATCACAAATATTAATCAACAAACCAACCAACATAATGCTAATGTTTGTAAGAAATATGTCTTTATTGTAATAATCACTTTCAATACAATTACTTTCATTATAACATTCTTATGTTTCCGGCAAAATACGACGTTCACTCCACTTCCACAACAATAAAAAAGAACATGGGATTCCATGGGAATTCCATGGGACACCAGTCAGTGGGATTTATACATGATATAACTGGCTCAAAACATCAACATAACATCAAAAAAAAAAAAAAACAATATCATAACAATACCATAATAATACATCATATAAAATGTTAATAACAAAAAAAAAAATGAAACAAAGTACATTATCGTTAGTGCATAGTAAATAAACATTTCACTTCACTCCTAACCCAATGTCTCATATTGCCTGAAAAAATAACCCCTTCGTAAGGCACTTGAGTGTGCTCAAAACCCTCAATGTCTTTGACTATAAATCTGTCATTTGGTAACACTTTTTACATTATTTATGGACTCTCAAACTTGGGTATTAATTATTTTATTTAAACCAATACTTACATCTATATTTATAATCATAACAAAATTTCCTTTTTTATACAAAGTAAGGTTTTTATGTTTTTGATAATAGTATTTTTTATTTTTTTTTTTTTTATTTTTTTTTTTTAATTGATCCTGAGCCCGGCAACTGTGGCCATTAGCTATTCGTAGGTACTGTAGGTTTTTTTTGTATTGATGGTTTGTAGGTTTTTGGAACGGTAGGGGGAACACGTGTGTGTTTGTTTTGGCAGAATTTCGAATTGCTCTCCGGTCACCGCGACTTGTCCGGAGAAAAATGCCGCCCGGTGGCCGAGGATCGAACCGCGACCGGCTGCGTCGCAGCGGAAGAGTCAGACCACTCGGTCACCTCGTCCCCCTATTTTTTATTATAAGATTGATTCTTTTATATATAATCTTCAGCCTCTCTCCTTATTTCTTCTAAATTCGTTTCCTTGTCAATTTTCAACAATAGTTTTATGAACTCATTCTCCATTGTATCACCTTTATGTTCTTCAGACAATAATTTAGATATGGCTTCACCTTTCGATACACATGACATTATTCAATTCACGCTCAACTTCATCCACTACTGATCCGCACTTATTTAATGCCTAAGTCTATTTTTCCATAATTTCAGTTATACACCGGTTAACTCTTTCTGCTTATCCATTTTCCCGAGGTGTTGCTGTTGAAACTAGTACTAAATCTAACTTTTTCTGGGGTAGAAATTCTTTGAACACATTGGATGTAAAAGCTGACCTTCTGTCTGACACTTCCCGTCTTGTCGTACTGTAACATCATCTAAAAATAGTCATTCATGTGTTTAATTACCTCTGCTATGTTAGTTGTCTTGCATGGGTATAATATAACAAAAGTTGTAAATGCGTCAATGATAACCAAAAATTATTTATTTTTCTTTCTGGTATGTTACTTGTCTTTTCCACTCCCAAGTAACCATATTTATCATGCACAGACCTTATCACACTAACTTGCATGCTTCCTGGAACATAAAATAATAGCTCATTGTACTTTCTTTCTATGACTAGAACATTTCTCATTTCACAATATTTATTCTTTGACTTATTCAACCGTTCTTTTGATTTATCTATCTCCTTATCCTAGATTTGTTTGATGATAAAGTTTGCTCAAAAGTATTTTCAGTTAATATTAATATATTGGTATTTCTGCTTAAAATATCAACATGTTTCATTCTACTACCGGCACGATGTTCAATACTAAAACCATAATTCTGAAATAAAAACGCCCATATTGTAATACACGGGTTCATATCTTTCTTGTTCATGGTAAACTTGAAACTTTCATAATAAATGAACACTTTGAAACTAATCCCATAGAGATAAACATGAAACCGCTTCACTACATATAATAATGCTTAAACACTTCAATTCCTAACTATGATATATAACTTCTATCTCAGTGGTTCTATTGCTATGATAAAACACAAGATGCATAAGACGATCTTTCTGTTTTTCCAAAAGGATTATCCCATAACCCAAAGCAATACCATCACAATGCTGTTCGGTTTCAGCTGAAGGGAAATATAATGCCGGAATTATCATTTGTACCAACTTAATTTTTAACAATTCAAAGACCCGCGAATCAATAACTATTAGGCTATTACAGGAACCAAGAGGTAATCAAACATACTTATACTGTCCTAAAAAAATTGAGAATGAAAGATACTTGGATGACTGTTTTGACACTCAAACATGAAAATATGCATTCTTTAAATCTAACTTTATGAATAATACCTTCCCTCTTAAATTATCCAATAAATCATCTACATTTGATATCGGATAATGCTCCTTCACTATTCTTTTATTTTACTCTCTCAAATCCACTCATTCGATATGTTCTATCGTTTTTTTCGACTAATACTATAGGAGACCGAAATTCAGATTTGCTTTCTTTTATAAATTGAGATCTATTAATGCCCGAAATGAAAATATCAATATTAAATATTTGTCTATCATTAGTCTTAACAATAAGAGACCTAATCTATGAATAACAACTACCGCTATCTATTAACGCATTACCTAACAGTAACATTCTCTTTACACAATTGTATACTTACCATTACATAGTATGCTGGTTAAAACAATATAATTTCTTCTGGTGATCCAGCATGTTGCAGCTCGTCCTATAGTTAAGATTCATCATTCTTGTCATTCTTAATTTTCTGATCTGTGGTTCTGGATCCACAGTTGAAACATATTCGACTTGTAGATGCCCCAACAACTTTTTGATTAGCAGCACTCCTACTTTCCGTTTTGTATTTAGGACTTTCTCCTGTGGGCCACTGCTTTTCATTTTAACCGGATGAAAATGCTTTATTTTGAAACCAACTATTTCTATATTCTGCTATTCGCATGTAGTCCATGGTGTAGAATAATAACTCATCTTCGTTGTTATGAGTACTGCTCAAAAAATGTTGAAATAATTCATTCGACTGAATGCTGTCTAAAAGCTTTTCTTTCGTATTAAACAAATTTAATTCTAGCTCCTAACATAGTCGTACCTTCCTGTAGAAATTGTCTTAAATACCTTATTTTTTACTCTGTGCCTGAGTTGTATGTTAGTACCTTCCATCGACTGCCCACATTAACATTTTTCAATTGAGTGCTTCGATTAACCTAACCTAACCACGTACTCAACCAATCTGTAGCTTCGTGATGTTTACACATTCTATTAAACGTTGGTAATGTCTTTGAAAAGTCAGATGGGACGTATACCTCTTTCGGTGCCAACATACATATGCTTCAGTAATGTGTGCATCATGTCTGCCTTATCATTGTCTTGTCCGAGGGTCACACAATTCAACTCTTCCGTTGTGCACTGCGTCCCGTTGTCGCCATTTACATCCGTATTCATCTCACCATTCGTAATTAATATTCGATTGTATGCCACTTCTGATGAAAGAAATATGTTTTTATTATAATAATCACTTTAAATACAGTTAATTTCATTATAATATTCTTATATTTACTGCAAAATAAAAACAACTTGCACTAAAAAAAAAAAAAATGACATAACCTCTAGAATACTGGTGTCAAATAATCATAATAATACTAATAATAATAATAATAATAATAATAATAATAATAATAATTGTAATAATAATAATATCTACTATACTAATTTTAAAATTTTAAAATGGGTAGGTAGTAAAAACTAAACAATAGTAAACCGGTGATACACATAAATACCATTATATTATAGATTAATATTTAAAATTGGTATTCAAGAATAGGGTTCAATTTATTGAATGAAGGATGCAACATTTCATAACACGATAATAAATGTATAACTAACAAATTCTAACCTAATCATAGTTATATTTGTTTTCCGTAATTCATTATAGTTGATCATAAATATCATTTTTGTTTGCTAGGTGAAACTGGATTACCTGGTGAACCAGGTAGACAAGGACTGCAAGGATTCCCTGGGCCAAAAGGTAAAATTATTTATGAACTATGAAACTTTATTATAATATGGATGAAGATACTTTTGTTTAAGTACCCATTAATAATAATTTATCTTGTTATTCATTTTTTAACCTATAATAAAATTAATTTAATTTTAGGTGATACTGGACCAACCGGTCCGGAAGGGCCTAAAGGGTTTACAGGATTCAGAGGAATGCCAGGTAAATAAAATGATATATTCTCATTTATATTCCAATTGATTTGCTGTTATTATCAATGTTAGGTAGGCATACCTATTATTATTTATTCAATGCTGTTACCTACATATTATTACACTTATAAAATCAACCCAAGATGGCTTAAATGTCTTAGAGTTTAGGTAATCAAATATAGAATTCGTGTAACTATCTATATCGGAAACAAAATCGGTTATAATAATGGATATTTATGTATTATTCTATTAGTAAGTACTTCTGGTTATTTTTGGAACATTGCAATCGTATTTGAGAAAAATGAGTATAAACGATTAAGCGGAAAATTAGGTTTGATCGATAATTACCTGTTTCATATGTTAGTTTTTTTTATACCTGATAATAAATTTTTATTGTCTTCAGATCTTGACAGTAAACGTTCACAGTTTTATATAAAAAAAAAAGAGGATAAGTCGATGCCGCTCAACTGTACAGTTGCAGTTGTCGAGTATGTTTTTGTAATGGATGTGTTAAATTTGAATTCAATGATAAATCGTGCCTATGTATCTTTAATATTTTTGAACTGCTATGAAATAAAGTTATGAAAAACGTTGCTTTAAGTTTTTAAGCCTTTTTACCATTTGCAACATTTTTTTAATCAACAAGGTAAATTTTTTTATAAAATTCAAAAATTTCTCATGGATATAAATATCCCAAAAATTGTTAAAATGTTAATTTTGAAACTTTCACCATGTATGGAATATGATCATCAGGTAACAATTTGAAGTATCTATTATTATAAGTCTTAGAGTTAGACCAAACAAATAAAATCTATTAATTGTTTTTTTTTTCTCTACACTTTTAAAAACTAGTTGCAATTTTAATTTTTACCTCTCTTATGCACCAACTAGATTCACTGCAAAATCGGCACTTCATAAAGTTGACGATAGACGGAAAAGAGAACAAATCATTGTAAAATCAATTAATTTACTATACTCACTTTTTTTTATAGGAGCATTTGGAAAACCTGGAATCGATGGCATGCCAGGTAATATATGTGTAACTGATTATAGAGTTTTATATTTTATAACATGTTGTACTTAATTATATTATGGTTATATTTTAATTTGTAACTCAAGTAATTGAAATTTAATATAAAATTTAATTTAAATTTGTAGGAGAGAAGGGTGATAAAGGAGATACTGGCTTACCTGGGATCAGTGGACCACCAGGAGAAGATGGTTTGCCAGGGCCACAAGGATATAGAGGTAGGTTTCCATTTTAGAATGAACTATTCCGTATTAAAATACTTTTAAAATGTTTTAATATAATATTAAATATTTCAAAAAAAAAATATTTTGTTATTATTATATTTTGTTTAATATGCTTGTTATTATTTTAAGTTCCGTTTTAAGTAGAATTTATTAAATATATAAACATCTATAGAATCTATTGAATTTCTTGAATAAAAAAAAATATTTTAAGTTCTTATAAGATAAAAATATAAATTAAAAACGTACATTTTTTCTAATTTTGTTGTGTATTGTAAATTGTAATATTTATATTATTTAATCATTATAATTGTGAATTTCAGGTGAAAAAGGTGATATAGGTTTCCCCGGGCCCCCAGGTGAAACTGGATTACGTGGTTTGCCAGGTCCTATGGGTGACCGAGGTCCCTTAGGATTACAGGTAAATTATGATGTTTTTTATTGTTACTGAAAACAACCATTGTAGGACATAGGTATATATTATATACTTACCAAATTTAAATGCTAAAACTAGACATTTTCCTAAAAGTTCTAGAATCCAGTGTAACTTATAAATTAATTAATAAATAAAATTAATTTTCCTATAATGGAAAATATGATAAATTATATATTTATATTGTTCAATTTTATGTTGATTGTTAACACACCATAGGGTTTAAAAGGAGAGCCTGGTCCAGTATCAGAAAAGGGACAGAAAGGAGAGCCTGGTGAATCCGGTCTCAGAGGAGCACAAGGACAACCAGGAATGGATGGTAAATAAATTTTGAAAACAACTACCTACCTAAATGCTTTATTGATATTTTGAGTGACCAATTTTCAACCCAAATATTGTAGTATAGATGTATCATGATACAATTTTGTTTAATTTTATGTCACATATTACATACAGTGTATCCACTGCCACAATATTTAGTAACACTCAATATCTAATTGAAATGTTGCTCTCGATTTTAAGTGGGTTTTTTTGTTCAGTGCCCACCGATGTTTAGAATTTTTACTAGTTCAAAACCCTTTAAACTTAGTTAGGATATGTTGAAAACAAAGTTTACTAAAATATAGTCTGATACACTTGACAACTCGCTGGTTTTATCTGGACGTTTATGTTCATCGATATACTAAAAAATTTTCGTATTTGTGCTACTTTACTCAGCTCACAAATGAGCAATTAATTGAAGTATATTGAATGTATGTAGTTATCAAGAACATAACGATACCTAAATTACATTAATGCCTAAATTAATTTAAATACAAACTATGTGTGTCATTAAAATACTAAAAATTTAGTGATGCATAAACATTTATTATAACTTATGAAAATTAATGCTTTTAAAATTGGAGTCCAATGTGACCCCCTAAAAGTTTTTTATATAAAAACATATATTGATATCTAGGTATTTGTTGGTTAGGACATGTAAGTTTTTCATTCTATGCCAAATTGTAGTACACAGTTAGAACCAGTAGACCGTTATCATTTTTATAGCATTTCATCTTTGATTCGAATTATTGAAATATTTAATATTTATTGTAGCTTACAAAAACTCATTCTGTGTTATTTCAGTAACATACACAATCATGCTCCACCAAATTGTAATACCCATACTTAAAGTAATTCGATGTACCTATAGTTAAACTATCCTAATTTAGTAGGCAATATTCAAAACAAAAAATTAAGAATCAGAACAGTTATTATTTATTAAAAGGGTTATTATAACTGTGACCTATGTTTATTTGAATTTGTTTAACATTTATAGATATTATGATGTGAATAAAACAAATAAATATCTAGGTAGTCAAAGATTGAAATAAATACTAATTCAATGTAGGTACAATATAATATTTAATATTGATGTGTGTTTTCAGAAGAAATATTCTTTAAATAGAAAAATTCAATGCTGTTTCAAAATCAGATTTAATTATCTTATGTTAAATTCCTACCAACCCACATCAAATATGAATTTATTTCAAAATTGTATTTTAAATATAGGTTTAACTTTGATGTAATAAATATGTATCTATCAAGAATACTTTCACTATCAAATAATGGGTAATTAGTATGTGCCATGTGCCTTTTATTTGCATGTGGAGTACCTATATATGATACTATATTATGTACACTGTCAATATTTTAAATCATACAAATCAAAACTCAAATGTCTTTTGCTCTTTCGAATATTGATACATAATGGTGTAATCGATCCATAAATAAATTATATTAAAAATTATGAATTATAAATGAAAAATATGGAATTCCATTTTAATTTCAAAAGTTCCTCTCAAATTTCTTCCTTTTAACTAACCAACACCAAATTTGTCTTTATAATATTATTATGATTATTTTATAATTTAAATACATCATATTTTAATCCTATATAACATATATTTGTAAGACTCATTATAAATGTATTCTATTATATTTAACAGAATACAAATACATAAGCAAACGTAAAATTTCGATCTACCTACCATATTAGAATATAACATTTATTTCATTATTCACTAAGTATTAAATTTGTGAATTTGATGGTAGTTATTTTATAATATATTTAATTTTTAGGTTTACCTGGAATGAAAGGAGACATTGGATTCCCAGGTATTGGATTACAAGGATGGTCAGGACAAAAGGTATATTTTATATAATGGGTTTAATATTATATATTATTTATCATCTAATATCTACAATATTTACAGTTTATTACCATACTATTAAATATAATTAAGTGATTTTTAGTGGGTAACTTTTTTAGGTAGAATATATATGTAAGAAAAATTAATACAATTTCAAATACTTTAACTTTTTAAGAAAATATACTAAACATATATTTTTCAAAGCTAATTCTAATAAGTATAATTTTTTGAGTACAATGAATTATTATTTTTAATTAAGGATGTTTACTCGAAGCTAAAAATATTGGCATTGCCCTTATCTCCAAAACGCGCGCACTTCACCCCTTCATCTCACTCAAACATTTTTGGATATAATGTTTATCATACTTGCAATCCGGACGGTACTGCTCATGCTGGTACCGCTATTTACATTAAAAACAATTTATCCCATCATCCATTAGCCCCACACTCTGAACCCTACTTAAAAGCCACTAAAATTCAAGTCGACTTTGACAATACTACTACCATTACCGTTTCCGCAATCTACTGTCCCCCTGGACCAAAAATTACGTCTGTCGATTTTCAAACCTTTTTTTCCACCTTAGGTCAAAAATTCATAGTTGGAGGGGATTTCAACTCTAAACACCCAAACTGGGGAAACTGCTCCACTAATACCAGAGGCCGTGCACTTAAATCTGTCTTAGACTCTATGAACTACTCAGCAATCTCTCCCCCTTCTCCTACACATTGATCTTATCAGACTTCCTGATATCCCTGATGTATTCGTTTCCAAAATTCCAAACCACTTACACTCATCCATATCAAACTTAAATGATCTCTCCTCTGACCACACCCCAATTTATCTTGAGGAGGGTGCCTGGGCCACAAACAAATTAAACCTTCCCTCACTTCTGGCAGAGTAAAACAGCTTAAATTCAAAAAATTAGTAACCGACCACATAAACATTAAACCCTCTTTAAAAACTACCTCTGAAATTAGCAGTGCTATTCTTTCCTTAACTTCCACTATTCAAAATCCTGCCTCCGCTGCCTCAAGCAGCCACCATCCACTCCGGAATAATACTAATATTCCTGCCCATATCATGCTCTAAATTACTGATAAACGTAGAGCCAGAACCCAATGGCATAGATTCAAATACCCATCGGACCAAGCAACATTTAATTACCTGAAAAATAAACTAAACAAAGCTATTCTAACACTCAATAACGAAAGTTGTCAAAATTATAACCAATATTTCTCAACCAAAGAGTCGTCCTTATGGAAGGCCACTAAAAATTAATCCATCACAAACTATTATCCCCCACTCCGTGTGCCTAACAACTATTGCCACCTCCGACTCCGATAAAGCCAACATTTTCACCAAACACTTAGCTAACGTTTTATATCACATAATATCATCTCACACATAACTCATACTCTAAATATTACTAGATTTCTTGAATCCGCTCTTGCTATGGCCCTCCCTGCAAAACATACTAGCCCGGGTGAAATTCAATACATCATCCGTAAACTCCCAACCAAAAGAGCCCCTAGGCACGACCTAATAACCAATTTAGTTGTCAAACACCTCCCTGATAAATCTATCATTCTACTAGTAATAATTTTCAACTCTATGTTTCGTTTATGCTACTTTCCTACAGTCTGGAAATATTCAAACATAATCCTAATTCCAAAAGCGGACAAACCGCCTGATATACCATCTTCCCATAGACCAATCTCACTCCTCCCCCCTCTAAAATTTTTGAAAAAATACTCCTCAAAAGGCTACTTACACTATCGGACAAATCCAACATCATCCCAAACCACCAATTTGGATTCATCTCCACCATCCACCAACTAAACCACACTGTCGACTAAATCAAAACTTTACTATGCGGCTTTACTCATTGACGTGGTTGAGGGCTTCGACAAGGTGTGGCACGAAGGACTTCTCTTCAAACTCAAACAATTCCTCCCTGCCACTTAATACCTTCTTTTAAAATCATACCTCGAAAATCGCTCATTCTGTGTTCGCGTTAACAACAGCTACTCGTCAACTTTTCAAATATAACCTAGAGTCCCTCAAGGAAGTGACATAGGTCCCTTCCTATACTCTATATTCGCAGACGACACCCCGGCCTCTCCACATACAACACTGAGTACTTACGCAGACGACACGATAATCCTGGCTTCCAACAATAGCCCTCGGGTAGTATCTCTTCGACTACAAAATCATCTTAACTCGATTCAATTATGGTATCATCCTTTGGAAGATCAAAGTCAATGAAGTCAAATCATCCTTTATCGTGTTCTCTCTTAGACCAGGTGACTGCCCCTCTATTTCGTCCAATAATAACCAAATCCCAATCACCCCGACAGTAAAATACCTAAGTTTAACCTTTGACAGATGCCTAACATGGGCCAAACCCCTTAAAAACAAAAGAAAAGCAGTCAACTCCAGACTCCATTTACTCCGCCCACTTTTTAGATCTAAGACAACAATAAATAATAAGCTACTAATATACGAAGCTATCTTCAGACCTGTTTCGTCCTATAGCATCCAGATTTAGGGCTCTGCCAAACCGTCCAATACGAGAACAATTCAGGCATACCAGTCTATCTGTCTGTGGCAAATTGTCTCTGCTTCATGGTTCATCACAAATAATAATCTCCACAAAGATCTAAACATTCCGTCGCTCCCACAACTAACAAAGTCCTTCTACGTCTCCTTTCACTCCAAGTTAATCCAACACAACAATCCATTAATCAAACGCCTATCTTCTCTAACAACCCCCGATAACCCCTAGAGACGTCTTAAACGCTCCTGACCTAGAGATCTTCTTATCTAATTTTTCGGGTGGCACTACTGAATGCCCTCCCCCATCTGTCAATCTCGCTATGTAAATATTATCAAAATTACTTATTGTATTAAATTGTTGTATAGATAGAAATTATATTTAAAAAAAAAAGAATTAAGGATGCTAAATAGCTTTATAGCCGTGTTAAAACATATTTCCAATTCTATTTTGTGTTCATTTTTTTTTTAAATTTATATTATTTAAATTTTGAATTTGATAGAAAGTAGATATTATAAATATTAAATGAATGTATATTTTTAATTTGTACTGTAGTTGTGTCATTTTGTTAGTCAGAATATGTGTTCTGTTAATAACTTAAATATATTCATGATATACTAGCCTAATTTTTAAGAATCACATTTTATCCTCGTTATTTCATTATTACATAATTTAATAATAAAACTTGATGTTATATAACGTATCTTTCAGGGAGAACCCGGAACGCCTGCATATGACGGACGACCTGGAAATGATGGTGAAAAAGGAGTTGCTGGAGTTGCTGGTGTTCCAGGAATGAAAGGTGACACTGTAAGTGTGGACTACTATGATGTTTATAATTGTATAAGATAATAATTTGAAATGATCATAAACTAAACAAAATGTTATACATGTATATAATATAATATAATATAATAATAATATAATCATTATATTCGAAGAATATATTGTTATAAGAATATTTATTTATTGATTAAGTAGAATAATTATTGACAGCCTAACCTGACCTAACCTTGACACTTGAATTATTTGTTTTTGAAAGGGACCTCGAGGAGTCCCAGGAACACCAGGACCTCCGGGAATGGATGCTTTAGATGGAATGAAAGGCAATGCAGGGTACAGTAAAAATATATTATATGAATAAATTAATTTAGTCTTTATAGCTCTATAATAAATTATTCCTTTTAAAAAATATATATATTTATGGTTTTTAGTTACCCAGGAATTCCTGGACAAGAAGGTGAAAAGGGTGATATTGGGTACCCTGGAATACCAGGTTTAGACGGAGAGAAAGGAGAAAGAGGATTACCAGGTATCAGATTTTAGATTATGTTAATATTTTAATTATGAACAAACATTTATATTAATTGAAAATGAAATGTTATAAAAATTAAGACAAATCAACTTAACATGCTAATTGTGCTACCTAACTTTTTAGGATTTAACAATGCACAATAAAAATATTTGATTTTGAATTTGATTTTAATAGGCTTGATTGGTATGATAAATAAGCTCATTAGTGGCATTTTTACGTTTATTTATAAAATTGATATCATTAAATATAATCGATATTGCAAATATTAATTATTTGATTTATTTATCTAGGATTAATTGGCCCAACTGGATTAAAAGGAGCCATGGGCGATAAAGGTAATATATTGTCCGATTTTTAATTTAAAGTACCATAAAATGGGTTAATATAATTCATCTTTAATTTTAATTTTGTGTGATACATTTTAGGTGACCGAGGATTAACAGGTCCTGCAGTTGATATAAAAGGAGATAAAGGTGAACCAGGGCCTCCAGGTTTTCCAGGAATACCTGGTTTAATAGGACCCGTTGGTAAGAATACTTTTTATCCTAAAAGTGCAGGAATTAATAAATAAAGATCTACTTTTACGATTTTTGTTTTAATATTTTAACTAAATAAAGTATTCTTTTAATTTTACATAAATAATGTGAATTATTTTACTGTTTAGGACCGAGTGGGCCACCTGGTATTGAAGGAGAAAAGGGTGACATGGGATTACCAGGTGCAACTGGTTATCCAGGTCCCTCTGGCCCAAGAGGCGAAAAAGGTATATTATGATAACAAATGTCAATTTGTTAACAAAAAAATATATTATTACATTCTTCCATGTTTCTCTTGTGTTTTAGGTAATGTTGGTCCCCAAGGTTTGCCAGGCATCCCTGGAACAACAGTCAAAGGAGAAAAGGGATTACCAGGTAAGATAATACTAATTACATAGACTATAGCCATAACAACAACATATTACATAAAATGTTTTATAAATGTTTAGATTAAATTCTAATGTTATTAATTTTTATTAACTATAGACTTTTAATCTACTGTAAAAATGTAATAATATTTTTTCATTTTTTTGTTTAGGATTATTGGGTAAACATGGCAGAGATGGACTACCTGGTTTATCAGGAGAAAAAGGTAAAGCATTTAAAAATGTTGTTTATTTTAATTTGGTTCCTAATCAAACCAAATAATTATAAACATTTTGTAGAAACTTTAATAATATCAATATTATACAAATTACAAACAATTGAAAAATATGAAGGAATAATACATTAGGCACTGTTTTTACATGATATATTGATAATGAAATTTTAAATGTAAAAATGTTTTGCATTTAATTATCTGTAGTGTAGAGGCGTTACTATTACTATTAAATATACAAAAATTAAAAAATATTTTTGAATTTTAAAGTCAAATTTTGGTAAACAAATTTAGTAGGATCTATAGAAGACACAACAAGGGTAATTAACTTGGTTTAAAAATTCATATTGTGTTATGAGATCAATCTACATATTTTACTGGTACTGTTTGAATGGAAAATGGGTCTTTAAATCTTAAAATAAATACTAAATATTATATACAAAATTATATATTTATAGTAGATATAATTACTTAAATAGGTACTTGTAAAAACGAATTGCTTGTATGAGCATGACATATTAATAATATTTTGTTAAAAATAAAACATTTTGGTTGGTAGGTAGTAATAGTAATCAATACTAATTAGTAATGATATCATTCAGCTTATATGTTTATTAGACAATAGGTAGTATTTGTATCAGCATAGAGTTATAGCTAAAGACCGGATTTAGCATATTATGCATATTCATATTTTTATAAGCTATTACATGTAGTAAATGGATTTTCATCAATCATAGTTAAACAAATAATGTTACAAATTTTTATTTTGCATATTTTTGCATATTTTGGGTACAAGTGCATATTTTCCATAAAAATGCATGTTTTTGCATATTACGTATANTAGTTATAGCCTATAGGTAGAGTATAGAGTACAGAATATTAAGCATGATAATGAGTGTAAAGTAGAGGAGCTTGTTACAAGGATTGAGCACTGCATTGTACTGGCTGTCCTCTGAACAGTACCATCTCTCTTACTCTTATGAGAAAACTCAAGCTATTTCTCTAAATTTGTTTTCCACGACCATGCATCCCATCCCTTGAGACAAATTTTCCATCTATTTCTATATATGTATGTCAACACCAATATCTAAAAGGCTTATACTTTATAATGATATAATCGTGGATAAATATATAAATATTTATTTAGAAATGATGAACAATAACACTAATAGTTATTATATATTATTATTTCAGGGGACAAAGGACTACCAGGATTACCAGGATTACCTGGTTCCGTAGGACCATTCGGTGTATGTACTATTGTTATTACTTATTTTAATGTACTAGTTTATTTTAAAATTATCTCCAACTTTCAGTTTGGGATTAGTTAACAATTATTAACTTTTAATTATTATCAATTTGATAAGTTTTAACATTTTTTGTTTGTAATTTAATACAATTTTTAATATTTCCAGTTCCCCGGCTCACCAGGTGATGTTGGAGCAATTGGACCACCAGGTAAAATAATACATTTTATGATGTAACTGAATAAAATTTTCAAACCTTATTTTTTGCATTTTGTTTATTATTATTATTTTTTATAAAAAAAGTATAATTACAATATTTTATTTACTATTTTATTTTAAATACCTAGTTTAATTTTGTATGTGCTTACTTATCAAGTTCGGTAAATATTATCATATTTTATTTCATAAAATCTGAAAATCTGAAAATCTGGAATCTTGACATCAAAAAAGTCCATTCATAAATTAAAATTGTTTCTTGTTTATCTTAAATTATCATCATTATAACACTATATTTTTCAGGTTTCCCTGGACCTCCAGGATCAGATGGTTTTCCAGGTATTCCAGGCAAGGATGGTCCTCCAGGATTAATGGGTACTATAATTATTAATTAATAATTCAATTTTTATGAAACAACTAAATTAATTATAATGCGAATGGCTTAAAATAGGTATTTATAGATGCTAAACCAAAAATAATTATTAATAAAAATGTTATTTAATTATAGGATTCAAAGGAGAACCAGGAAACCCTGCACCTTTCGGTGAAAAGGGGGATAAGGGAGATGTAGGATTTTCAGGTAATTATTTTACATTATTTTAAATTTAATCTTTATATGTGTAGAAACATATTCATGTAGAACTATCAATATAACAATTGATTTAATTTTAGTTTAAAATGAGTTAATTTTTTTAATTTTAGGAGAACCAGGTTACCCTGGATCTAAAGGCGATAAGGGAGATAGAGGTTATCCAGGTAAACAAAAAATTATATTTGAACTTATTTTAAATATAATACAAATGAATGAATAGGAACAATGCAATGATTCCGATGGATCCTTGACTGTTTCTGTGGCCATTTAATATTCTCTACCAGCTACCGCTATCCTTTATGTTTAATATATTGTTTTATTATATTTTTACATTAGTAAAGTGGTATAAATGTTTGCATGTTTAAGGACTTGAAGGAATACAAGGTGTACAAGGTTTACCAGGCGACAGAGGATTGACTGGGGTTCCAGGGAAAATAGGTTTGTTCCACAAATTAAAAACTAAAGAATTAATACTTAGTTAGATTTTAATCATAGAACAACAAAAATTGACATAGTATTAATGAATAATTTTTAGCAACAATGTCGTAAATAATGATTATTAAAACATGATAAAAACTCTTAAACATATTATTTTTATTTGTGTTAAGGTATGCCTGGAATCTCTGGAATCAAAGGTGATAAAGGTGATCCAGGTTTAGCACCTCCACCTGGATCTAAAGGAGAACGTGGATTACCTGGTATTTTAAATTTTGAATATCTTACATACATTTAATATAATTATGCTATTTTAAAGTAATTAAGTCCCAATATATTTATAAACAATTTTAACTTATAATTATGTTGTTAAATAAGCTGATATATTCATCAAAATTTATGATTTTTATTTTAGGACCTGTTGGTTGGCCGGGTGAAAAGGGAGATCGAGGTATTGATGGCCTTCCTGGTTTAGAAGGATTAAAAGGAAATATTGGTAAGAGTCAATACCTTTTAAAATTGTCTGAATAACTTATATTTTATTTTTATTTCAATATGTAGGTGTTCCTGGTTTGAATGGTCCAGTTGGTCCTCCTGGTTCGGAAGGTGAAAAGGGTGAACCTGGAGTAGAAGGGCTTCCAGGCTTACAAGTGGGTTATGCTATAATTAACAATAGTTATTAGGTATATGAATTGCTTTTACACTATGTAATTACAAAACATACATGGTATTTTACATGAATTAAACTAATGCACCTATTCGTATGTGGCAAAACATTAAAATAAAAATATTATTCAATTCGATATAGTTTTGATGTATAAATAGTATATGGTTATGCAGAAACTTTATTAACTTGTAACTTACGAAAAAACAAAAATAATACAAATTTGCATTTATTAAAATGTATAGATTTCTAGGTATATAGTAGACTGGATTGCTGGATTGAATAAACAATAACTTAATATTTAAATATTTAATATTTAGTGAAAAAGTTATCCATGATAGGTTTATCATTAATTGGTGAATCATTAAATTAATCAATTTTTTGTACAATCACATATTAATTAATATGAAATACATTAATTAATACAATAACACATTTATTAGCTTTTAAAAAGTATTTTTAATTCATCTTAAATACCTATACCATTGGTATTGAAGAGGAATCTATAGAATTTGATTACAATCAAACCTTATGATTGTTTTTTAAAAATTAATTTAAAAAGTGCATAAATAGTTAGAAACTTAAAGCTAAATGGCGACACTTAACATCAAATAAAAATCTTACTAATGTATTATACATGAATATATAATATATATTGTATATTACTTAAACTATACTTAACTTATTAATGTGTATTCAGGGACCACCGGGTCTACGAGGTAACGATGGACCTCCTGGTAGATCTTGTGAATCAGAACCAAATTATTCAACAGGCATTTTGTTGGTAAAACATAGTCAAAGTTCTTCAATACCTCAATGCGAACCAAACCACTCACAACTCTGGGATGGATTTAGTTTGTTATACATTGAAGGCAATGAAAAATCCCATAATCAAGATTTAGGTAATTTTTTATATTTATTTGAAAATAATCATTGTTATTATTTTATAGTACCATTCAATAATAGTATTGTATTTTCCGTTATCCTGTGATAGAAATAATATACGGACTATCGGTAAAGACCATAATTCCCAGTGAAAATAGGGTTTGCTCGAGAGAATACTTTTGTGATGTACTAAGATCACCTAATTGTCTTAGAAAAATAGAAGTAAATATTATCTATGCTGGAGTGTAGGTAGATGTTTTTGTTGGATTAAATAATTTTTTCTGTGCATTATTAAAGCTTAGGTTTTTGTGTATTTTTCAATGGATTATTAAAAATTAGGATAGTTAAATAATTGAACTTTTTAAAGCACTTTAGCATGGATAATGATTTTCTTATAGGTAACTGTGAACAATTGGTAGTTTCGCAATTCCAAGATACTTGGTATAAAACTATTTTTGTTAAAAAAAAGATTCTTAGAATGTAGTGACATTCGGAATAGCGCATCCTGTTCACCATTACATGGTCTTGGTTAATTGAGTATCGTTCTGTTAAGTACTTTAATTTATCCTATAGTTAATCTAGTAGGTATAGGTAGTATGAAAGGACCTGTATTATTTGAACTAAATTAGAAGTTTATACAAACTACATACATTTAAATATACCAGGCCCAGAATAAATTGTATTAGAAATATTCGGTCCATGGTTGGTTGGTTGATTAATTAACTAATTGTCTTAATTTTGTGATGGTAATGAGTTACTCTAATGATTGTTAAATCATTGCAAACTATATTACTGATCATTTACATTGAATCGAAAATCGGCTGACGGGTATACGGCGTTACCCGCGTATACGTACCAAACTACCAATACACCCCTGTCTATACATATATTATACCTATAATAGGTGCATAACATGCCATAGGTATGTGTCTTCTTTGTATTAAATAAATTCTAAATACATAATTAGAGTATTCCTACTTCATAATTATAATATACAATCAAAAATATCAATATACAAATTTGGTTGTTTTCAGGATTCGCCGGTTCTTGTATCCGGAAGTTCTCCACCATGCCATTTTTGTTCTGTGACTTTAACAACGTATGCAACTATGCCAGTAGAAACGACAAGTCGTATTGGCTCAGCACCAATGCACCGTTACCGATGATGCCAGTCGAAGAAAGCGATATTCAAAAATATATTTCTAGGTAAAAATTATCATCGTTATTACATAATTGTTGCAGAGTAATATTTACAATCGTCGTATTTCATTTTTTACCATTGTAATGCATTCATAGATGTGTCGTATGCGAAGCTCCTGCCAACGTGATTGCCGTACACAGTCAGGCGTCAACAATTCCCGACTGTCCCAATGGTTGGGAAGGTTTGTGGATTGGATACAGTTTTGTGATGGTAAGTTTTCATTGAAGCAGGTAGATGTTGTAGTTTATGTGCACTGTGGAACGCACTTAGCAGGACAGACGAAATTTGAAAAAAAAAATCATTATTAGCTTGTCGAAAACTGGAAAGTACCTACATAATAGGTAATCCAAAAAAAAAGTTAAATCAAAATGATTTGATTGGAAAAGGTGAATTTTAAACAATTATATTTGAATGTACGGTAATATTATGCAATATACATGCATCTGTATTCTGTATAGAGGCAACTGTTTCATCAAAATATGACTATAATAACTGTAATTTCAATCTGTAATCTATATCGATATAGATAGTAATGTACGTGTTACAGTTAAATTAATACTTTACATATTTTGATACAAGATTTCTCCTAAGTTGTTTTGACAGCAATAAAAAAAATTTCTAAAAAAAGGCACAATTTTTTTAAATTTATAATTATTTTTATTTATATAACTGAATTGCATTTTAAATATGTTATTATAACATATCATTATATTATAAGTCTGATATTAAAAAAAAACAATATGATTATTTTGTTATTTATTTTTCAAACTTTCTTTCATAATACCATAAAAACTAGTACCTATGGCCTATTGGAGAACATATTATCTAGTATAGTCAACATTATCTGTATAGTGTAGGTTTTAACACTACGTCTATTTTGGAAGATAGTCTACTCTCGTCGGAGCTTACTATTCCCCAAAATATTAAACATTCACATTTTTTTTGACATTTTTACCGATTTATGCATATGATCGATCTGTCACAGAATCGAACTCATTCAATTACCTAGGCAAGAAAATCGTCATATTAACCGGCTTTCAATGCCCCCTATCTTTCTAGTTGTTTTCTTGTAAGATTAGATATGTACACGACTTTTGGCACAATTGGCCGTTAATTTGACCTAAATCTATTACAATGGTAGTTTTATTGTTTATTTGTGTTTGGTTTCAGCACACGGCCGCGGGTGCTGAAGGTGGCGGTCAATCACTAGCCAGTCCAGGTTCGTGTCTGGAAGACTTTAGGGCAACGCCGTTCATCGAGTGTAATGGGGCGCGAGGAACGTGCCATTATTTTGCCAACACCATGAGTTTTTGGATGGCCACCATCGACCCCGACGAACAGTTCACCAGCCCTAAGAGGCAAACGTTGAAGAAGGACGATAGCCGCACTCGCATCAGTAGATGCCAAGTGTGCATACGAACAACATAGAATAACTATGTCTTTAAGATACACGAAACAGATCATAGTCATATATTATTATATTTTTAATTTTTGATAATTTCGATGTATAAATTTTTATTATTATTATTTATATTATTATCATTATTTTTATTATTATAATTATTATTACTATATTCAACAGTAGGTAAGCACCTAAATTGATTTTGTATTATTTCCAAGCATTCGTTGTGTTCATTAATGATACATTTTAATCGAATTGTGTTCTTTATATTTTAAAAATAATATAAATATATATATATATTAAATATATTCATAACGTTCGTGACATAACTTTATTAGCATCTTAAATCTCAGAATTTTTGAACAATTTTTAACAATATATTCTAAATGTTTAAACTAATCTTAATAATGCGTACCTATATCTAAATGAAATGTAAAAAATAAAACAGACAATTACGAAATTCATTCAAATTAAGTCTATCTATTGGAATTTAGATAAAATAATCAATATGTAAAATACATAAAAAAGAAAAATATTTTATGAACAATATTATCGTTTTTCATTTATATACAATCTTATATTGACGTATGTAATACTAGTACGTACATATATATTATACGAGAATAGAAATATATTACTAGATTATTTATTTGTTGCATTGCATACATTTACTCCAACAGCATTTACACAGGTATCGAAAAATGAAATAACAATATCTACATAAGTAAATAGAACAGTAAAATGATGATAATTGTTGGTGTAATAAGGCGTTGTGTATTTTTTATCTGACACATGTTAGAAGGTATTTTTTTCTAGATTTAACGTCCTAATTTCTTATCTTCAACTTTAAACTTCTGCAAACACACAATAAAATATTATGAGTATTTAGTTGGTTTTCTTGTTGATTGCATTTTGTTATTTTTTTTAGTTTTATCTCGTGTAATCTATAAAACTGTATTGTCTGTATTTGTATGTAACTACAAAAAAATATAATGAGTGACAGTGATGGATATTCTGTATCACCAAGCTCCAGTACATCTTCCTTTCTACCAACTCTTCCTATTTCTTCACCTCCAAGATCAATTGATGATAATTTTTTTAATTTTTGAATGATAAATCATGTTCTCAGCAAAATAAAACAGTAGTTGTAGTACAATGTGTAAAATGTGAGCTAAAAATCGTAGGATTAAAAGGTTATGGAAATTCATCTTCTAATTTTGTCAAGCGTTTAAGTCGCCGACATGGCCCAGATGCTGTTGAAGAATATAAAAATTATATAAAATCGACCAAAACACCAAATCAAAAAATTAAAACAGCTGTCAGTTAAAATAAGTCAAGAAAACTTCGAAACTGAAATGATTAGTTTTTTTTATATTCAATGATTCTTTTAAAATGTGTTGAAGACCCATATTTTTCAAAAATGTTTAATACCTTAAATATAAATATCTGATTGTGCACTTCGTGTTATAAGCCGTCGTTACTTTTGTCGGAAAATGGAAATTTTGTAAGAAAAAAAATAAATTAAAAAATAATTAAAAGATGTATAATTTGTTTGCACTACTGTAGATATTTGGTCTGGAAAAAAAGAAGTTTTTCCTTGTTTTTTTTTTAAGAACACACATTATTGTAAAAGCAACACACTCATCGCTCAGCTCAAAATCTAAAATGTTAATATTTAGGTAAGTTTTCCTTCTGACAAAATCAGAATGTGTTGTATATTGTAATTAAAAAATGAAGAAGCCATCGATTTTTGAAACGATCTTCAACAATTTTACACCTATTGGCTATTAGTATATTTTAGACATGACATAATTTTAAAAATATTTTGGTTCTTTTTGAATTACATTACCTATAATGTTAATAAGAAAACTGAACATTTTATTCATAATATGTATATTTCTTATATCTTTAAATACAATTTGACTTTTCATCTATAAGTTTCAGAATCGTAATAATTAGGTAAGTACTATAATGTTTCATTTCAAACAGTCATGAAAAGTAAATAATAATATATAAAAACTAAATTAAACATAATACAATAAAAACTATAAGCTACTTAGCCTTAGCCATAAATAAAATAACAATCAAAATTTAAAAATAAAACAATTCCTAATAATGTATAGGTATATCTAAATATAATATATATTTTATTTAAATGGTATTAAACAACAATAACAACAATGATTAATTGCAAAAGAAAAAAATAAGTAATATAATTTTCGTAATCGGAGACCTCACCCCCACCTTCACCAATAGCGGCAATCAACATGACCTTTTAAATTATAAAACATAATGTTCAAAATAATGAGCAATTAATATAATCGCTGTAGGAATGTTTTCTTTCATATAGTATATCTAACCCACCCAGTGGCGTAATTTGATTCACATTGGTGTTGCGAACTTGTTTGAATGTTTTAATAATGGATATTCAATTCCCTCTTTGTACTCCTCAATCCTCTGATACAAAGTAGGTCGAGAATAGGATCTATAGATCGTTAGGAAGTTGGGGTGGCGGTTTAGGCGATTAACTGCTCATAATAGAGATTTTTGGCAGTGGGTATTTTTAAATCTGAGCGAAAAGCCCCTTAGAATTGGGTTTTTGATATAATTTGAATTACTTTAGATTGGAGTCTCTAAATACATTTGATATTAGAAACATTTGCTGCGCCCCCATAAAGTTGGACGCCGTAAAATCAAATGGGTCTCAGGTGGAATAATGTATAGGTACAGCAACGGTTAAGGTAGGTAATGTTTTAGTTTTAAGATATTTTTTTAATATTTTAGAAGATAATTTAAGATAATTTAAGACTTAATTATTTTTAAATGTTCAATAAATGTAATATATATTTCTAGCTAAAAATAATTAAAATCCAAAAGAAACGATCACCTTTTATCATAAAACTTAACATTACAACATGCTGTTATTTTTATGACAATAAACTAATTAGTCAAAAAATGTCAATAACAAATCTATAAAATATAAATACTGCATCTATAATATTCAGTCGTAGCCTCTTATGTAATGCAAATGAAGCCCTTGGCCACAATTTATCATACGTTGATTATTACACGTTTTTTCTTATAATTTCTCTGAACAGTATAACTATTAGATAGGGTTCGAATTTCGTATCAAAATAAAATATAAATTGTCGAAAACATTTGTTTAGTTTAAGTTTGACAATTGCGAAAAATCAAATTTGTGATCATGTTTTAGAAATCAAATATAATATCATTAGCTATCGACAACTGACTTTTTATTTACACCGTAGTTTATGGATAGGTAGGTATTTAACAGAATATATCAAATTATTATGTAAACATAGTTTGGTCGTTTAGTGGAAATTGGATTTAACCAAAATAAGAGAATCTATAGTTGCAGTACGAAAAATGGAGCTAATGTGCCGAAACCACAAAAAATGTAAATATTTAATATTTATCATCATCACGATGACATAAACGAGTTTGGTTGGTTGGCTACAATACGATTGAGTATAAAACACCTAAATGACGACAAGATTGAGTAAACTTGTAGGAGCTACAAAAGAAATTGTCTTCTTTACAAAAGAAAACCTACACGATTAAGCATTAGAAACTCTGCGATGTTACCGTTTACAATTTTGAAATACATTATGCAAATTGGTGAAAGTTAAAAAATAACATGATTTCATTGTCAATAATAGAAAAATTTCATAAATCTACCAATTTACCTATTTGATGACAATAATAGTAGGTAATACATATAATTAAGTACCTACCGAATCATACTTGCTGATTTGAAATTGATAATAATAATAAATTAAATGTACATATCTTGATATCTGTTTCCAAGTTGGCTTGAAAATGATTTATCAGATATTCCGTATCTATTTTCTACGATTTGAATATTGGTCGAAAGCTTTTAAAAACAATTCTTGTATTTTTAATAACGTTCTCAACAAAGTTGGTCTCGGTTTACAGCTCGTGGCTCGTTTAGGTTTCTTATCCTAATAATTGGTGTAATAATATTTGATAACGTGGCGACGTTGTATGAAATATTCTACCCTCAATCTAGTTGCTAAAAAGGTATATGCTCAATCGTACTTTACCGGATTGGTGTTGGCGGAGGAGGGGTCCGGAGGTTTCGTACGGGAATGTGTCGATTGGAGTCTTTTCTTTTTCATTTTTGGAAATAATTAATTTATCAGAAATATAATATTAAATTATTAAATTAACAACTAACCACGCACTAAACACGATTGGCGTGTAGGTACTATAATATTATGACTATATTGTATTACATATTTTATCTATCCGTATTTTAATATTACTTCGCACAACTCAACACAATTAAAATATAAACGTATGGCCTAGACTGACGATGTTCAACAACAACAATAATAATAATATGTATAATTAGTATTAGGTAGGTGTAAAATGTTGGTATTTTCATTGGTGGTCGTCGAATTGACTGTCAGGCGCGAGATCGTTTTGGTCCGTTGTGGTTTTGGCTTTGCGCTCGTTCAACGTGGTCCAAGCACAATGGATTTGAAAATGCAGTCTCGTCTCCAGCGAATAACCAGAGTAATTTTTTCTGTAAAAAAACGACGAATAAGACAGTTGAAACGAAGAAGTCAGTTGAATATTGTTGCGGGGGGCAAAAGCATTTATTTTAAAAGTTTGAAAAAAATTAACTTTTCAACTATTTATTATTGGACAAAAGAAAATTGTATTTACAATCTGTATTTACATGTAGTACAATAAGTAAATGGTATGTGGGTTGATTGGCGGGAGGGAAGGTCACCCAATGGTGGAAATCTCTTTAAGGAGAGAGTAGGTCCCTACACCAGTTCCTTTTCAGCCGCCTGAGAGGATTGTCTGAGATTTGTTTGGATGATAGTTGAGTGATTATAGGATTTGAGTGAGTATTGAATGTCTTGTGTGTTTCTTTGTTGGTGATCATAGCAAAGATTATTTAAGGTTGGAATGCAGATGTCTTTATGAAGTGATTCATTGGTTATATACCAGGGGGCACCTGCTATTAAACGTAAACATACTGTATGTAGTCAATAATGTCCCCCTCACTTTTGCCTTTTGGTAGTACGTAGAAATCGGTTTTAATGGATCTCGATGTGGGACAAACATTTTATAATATTATTTACTATACAATCATATTACTAATAACTTTTGATGCAGACCTACAGTTCTGGACTCATCATACCTTTACCACCAATCGATATTTTCTCTACAACAATATCCGCCAGTTCACTGCACCGTACCGACCAAGTACCAAGCATTTAATTTGTAAGAAATAATATTTATAATATATTATAATTTATATTGTTTAATAAGTTACATGTGACTTATAATTCTGTATGCCAGGTACAAATGTAATAATTGATTTTACTCTTTCGTGTTTAATGTATTAGTATTTTCGTGTTACAATGTATATATTTTGCCAAATCATTAAACAGCAAGACTGCCGGGAAAATCTATTAATTTGATAGACCAATCCAAATCATGTTTAAGGGATCATTAGCTCACTATTGGTTCATTAAATGTTCAGTGATCGTAGAATATTTAGGTACCCATTTAATTTATTTAATCATCAGTATTCAGTATTGTGTCGCTTCCGTCCATCCACTATGAGATTAGCGTTCTGCATGGACCTCGTCACTTGCACAGTTATTTACATTTAAATATTTAAAATTAATAAAATATAATATTAATCTAGGGAATATCTTGAAATTTTTATTAATATTTTAATATAAAAACTGAGTTATAACTATATGATTTATTACAACTTTGAAATGCTCACAACTCTTGATTTTAAAAGCTAACGACATGAAATTGGTTATGATGAACACAAATTTACTATGTTTCACATGGGTCAGAGGAAAAACACAAACAGCACTCTCATATTTTCTCAATAAAATTTTACTCGGACACTAGATTTCGTAAATTATAATAAAATAAGATATTTAGTTGGAACTTCCAGTTTACTGGACTTTTTCCCCGAAAGGCCAAAACCAAAATCCCGAATTAAATATCTTTATTTAAAAATTGTATTATTAGGTTGTGGGTATTGGGTATGTAGTGGGTATCTAATAACTATATTTTCTACTTGTGTTATTTTTACTCATTGAAAACTGTACGCCCGCCATTTTTGTTAAATGTTTAAAGAAATGTATTTAAATTTAATAAAATTATAGTGTAGTGTATTGACGTATTGTATGATATTATTCGAGACAAATTTAGACCATTTTGCCTGTCAAGGAGTTATAATTATATTAATCTACTCAATACCTTTATAATATATAATATACATAGTATGTATAAACGTATATATACCTTTTATCTAGGCAGGTGCTTAAAAATGCAGGGCAACAATTTAAAATTATCATTATCATCGAACGCCCGTCTGCGGGTTATCGCAGTCGAGTATCCAAGTAATAAGTGCTAATAGACTGTAGTCTATATAAGTAGGTACCCATAACCTAATAACAACATTTTCAAATACAAAATGATCAATTTGGGGTTTGTGTTTTCGTGAAGAGATTTTTCTGAAAAGCGAATTCGTTATTTTGGTTTTCATGGAATAATCGTCCGGTGCACCGCGGAGTAAGGACGTTGATTTATAGACGACGCTATGTCACCAAATTTTCGTTACAAACGATTTCTACTGTGATAAATAATAATATAAACGAATCGTGCTAAATATTAAAATAAATGTGATCAGGCAAAGACAAAATTAACGACTGTACTTTGCCGTTTCGAGGTAATACGCCGCCTTGTCCAGGTTGCCTTTGGATTTGTACAAAAACGCCAGCTCCACGTGCGCGTATGGAACCAAGAAACGGTCCTCCTTGATTTTCTTCTCCATCGACACGACGGACTTGAGACACTCTTCTGCGTGCAGCGGGCTGTTCATAATGCGCAGACAAACTCCTTTCAGCAGACACCCGAGTGCCTTGTTGTCGTACTCGTATTCACTTCCGTATTGCCCTAGGTGTGAGAAAAAACAAATATCAGTACATATATACGTGAAAGCACCTGACTTTTTTTCTATAGGGGGGGGGGGATATTTTTTATAATGGTCGTTGTGGTAGGGTAGGCTTCGATTATGTTTTAATATTATCGTTACCGTTCCCTTTAATTATGATCAACATATTATATTCTCATACAACAAAATATAAATAAACCAGGGATGTCGCTCTTAGGTGTCAAGTACTCGAGTGTATCTCGCTAATTCACTGTAATATTATTATATGGATGTGTACAATTTGAATTTAATGATAAATTACTCGTAATATGGAAAACGATTCTGAGTAGATACCGTGTGTCAGTGTATACTTTTAAGAGTATTTTGTTATATATTTATATTGCTATATGTTAAACTAACATTGGCCAAAAATAAATCACATATATTATAAAGTATGTATACAATATTACTTTATTATTGCAAATTTTAGTGATGTTGACTTGATATTTAATTGAGTAATATAAAAAACTGTACCTATGTATTTTTAATATTTTTTTAATTACAACAAATTAACAAAAATTGTTTAAGGAAGAATTGTGTTTCACTCTTCAATACCAGTACATCATCAAAGATTTAATTACTCATCAAAATGTAAATAGACATAAATAGTAACTTACATTTAATTTCTGATACATAAAATGTATGGAGAATCTTGTACTAAATTGTCAAGCTTTATTTTACTCACAACAATTTAAAGTAAATCGAAAACAAAATAAAATTAAAGAAGGACATGAGGAATGTTTATGTATAACACAGAAGAGACAAACAATTGTATTGTAGCAAGGAAATGTTAGGTAATTAAATATTTGGATAAAAATTCAAATCTCCACAGTTATTTATTTTTGAATTAGGTATCTATACATCAAAGAAATAAAATCTTTTGTTGAAAACTGATTTGGATTAAAAATTCTTATACTTCCAAAGTTATCCACCTGTATGATGACAACACAGTGCACTTCCACAGTTTTTAGTTTTATTAAATACATAGTAAAATTATGTATTTTCATATACCATGAATATAATATCATATACTATGGTATATGATTACAAATGTAATAATATTATATTTTTTGTAATTTTTTTTATTTTTCTTTATTATTTTGAAAAGTACTTTTTACTTTGACGGTTTGTCCCGTCACTTATCAATTAAAAACCAATAACCACTCTTTAAAGTTAAATATTGAAGCATTTTTCTATTATTAAGTTTGTGCAGTAAAAAAAAACTCACACACATCATAGTTTACAAAAATAGAGGATTTTCAAATCTAAGAGTTACTACGAGTTCTGATACAAACGCTTAAGAATCACGGCTCACGAGCTTCTGAGAACATCTTCTCAGTTTGGGTGTTGGTGATTTTTATCTCAGAAAATTCCCGAAATCTTGTTTTTTTATTCTATAATATTCAACGTCTTTGTTTGTCTACTGTTTGATTAACGTTATTGTTATTTTTCACAATTATTTCAATAGTTTTTTACATGTACTACGCAATTGTTCAAAAGAAAATTTAGTTTCTACTACAAAAAAGTTAAGAAGTCCATCACAATGTGCAATATTAATAGATAAAAAAAGATTCCTCATAAGAAAAATATATAAGGCATCTTAGTATTTTACCATTAATTGTTGTTATTCTACTTAAATGTTACGACTTCACGATACTTACGATACCTGTCGTTAACGTGCTTTTACAGCAAGATTTGGCTGAATCATCTGTATGATTACGAAGTGAAATATTCGAATTGAAAATTAAGTGTGAGCCGTAAGGGCATACTTTTACCTAAGCACTTACTAACATATTATTTGACTTGAATATACGTTTCAATGAAAAATGAAAATATAGAAACTTGGGCGAACTTGTTAACTAAGTTTAGACGGTAAGTTCGGGGAAAAACTTTGTAACTTTTAACTTTTAAGTGACAAATTACATTTCACAAAATAAATATTACATTTAACATATGATGAAAATGATTTTAAACAGGACATTAAAAATAAGCATTTGATTTTGCACTTTTAGAACAGTACAGTAAAACTACGAAGTAAAGTAACGATAACTGCATAAAGTTTGAGTTGTTCCTTTTATCGATTATGCGTTTGATACAGATAGTACTTTAGATGAGTGATTTTTGTGTAACTATACCAGTAGTTCCAAGATAGTTGATAAATTAATGAGCAACAATACAAAATGAGAATTAAATATCGGAACTTTTATAATATCTTTGTATTTAAGATGAAATTTGTTAATTAATTTTAATTAGTCGTCGAAGTGATTTTAAAGGCAGACACGTTGGACGTAGACACTCTGGCTACGCTTTTACAATTTTTGGAAATAAATACGATCTCAGCTGCTTATTATAGCTATTGATTTTCCAAGAATCTTTTAGCTGTTTTACATATTTTCAATTATAATATTTAAATATCTGTATATCCTCATAATCCTTGTTGTGCACATTTTATAAATCTATAGTAGAATAATAATTGGTTTTACCACAAACGTCATTTTATATATCATCTTGAGTGACATAAATCATACACTATGCATATAATATATTACAATACTAACAAATTTAAGTTGATCATACATTGAAATAATTCTAGGTTACCTAATACAAGAATACATTTTCTGCTGACCTAATATAAAAACGAATTGTAGCATACTATTATATTGTTTAGTGTGCATTAAGTTACGTTGTGTAAATACGTACTCAGGTTTATACGCCTCTATAGTAAAACATCAGAACGGATAATATATAATCATAATATTTATATTTTCTAGTATTACGCTGCTTGTATTATATCCAGAAAGGAACAAGCCAACAGAAAAAAAGAAATTTAGAAATCTACACACACCAAAATACAGACTGTGAAGTTGTATAATTTGGAACTTAAAGATGCTCAAAATGACAAAATGTTTTAAAGAACTGCAGTTATCTCTATTCTGAATTCTCTATAGACTATATTATTTTGACGTTTTATAACTCTTGCATTCAAAATTGTAATTTTATTACGTTATCGAAACCGTTGATGGAGCCATGGAGGAAGCTCTTTGTGTTCATTACTACGTCTATAATTTCTAAATTAGCACTCCACATTTTTAGTACAATTTATGCGTACATTTATTACTTGTCCCATAATTGTTTTTAATCTTCAGCTTAAGCTTTAAGCTTTAGCACTCATTTTCCAGAATATAAACTGTAAGTAATTATTATATAAAAAAATATATTTTTGAAATAAAATAATAAAATAATAATATTATTATTACTATATAGTGTAATTAATATTATCTATATATTGTTTAAGAAACAGTACACACGTAATATTATAGTTTTCTTAAAGCCTACACATAAAATAATAAAGCAAAATATAAATTTATAAATTTAGTGTATTGCCACATTAGTTTTTTATTTAAAATGTCGATAAAATTCGTCAAAGTTTCAAATTTGTTGTACCTAGTAGTATAGGCCGACGACCATCTTTGCTCAAAACCGTTTTTTGTTATGTGCATTGATTTATCTTTGACTTCAAAGTTAATACATTCATATTGCAGTGACTTATACTCTGAAATTACAAGGTATGTGCATTGCTCATATTTACAAAAAAAAACAACAAAAGTAATTTGTTTTTGGTATAGTATATCAGTATCAAATTAAAAAAGTCCATTTTTGTGGCTATGTAAACAGTTATAAGTGTAATTTGCTAGAGCGCGGGTTTTTATGCAATCGTAAATTGTTTTTCTTTTTATATACTAGAATGTTTGTCTGTATAACCTGTACGGATTGTAATGGTTTCTTTAATCTAATGATAGTATTTTTTTTTGTATATTTTATAATTTTTACCATCAATATTTTGAATATTTTTTTACATATTTCGACAAAACTTGATATTTGTTGAAGTGTAATTAAATTATACACTGTTTTCAAAGCCTAATAAAGGTGTAAAATAATATTTCATCACGTGGAACATTTTAATGATACATTTTGTTGACTACAAACCTATCTTTTTTTGGTAATTTTGAATACATATTTGTATTGTTTTGAACAGGAAATGAAATGTCTTGTTTATAAGCTCGTTAAGCAATTTCACTAAAAAAATTATTTGTTTATTATGAAGTACATAATTAAGTCTCTCAATTTTATTCCAATTATTTTAGACCAAATAAATTAATAATTATCAAAAAAGCGATTTAATTGTGTACATTTTTTTTACTACATTTCTAACCTATTAAAAAAAAAAATGTTGCATGTTTGTTTTATACTTCATGATTTTTAATATAATATTTATTCATTTACTATATAGAAAATGTAGATAATTGTTAGTGCATACAAATCTGTGCCCTAGTTATAATATTATGTCATAACTGTCTTTAATTTTTTTTTATATCATATTATTATCTTAAAAATGTACCTGTGTTGATACGCAGGTACACAAAGGCTGTCGATAAAAACAAACCTTTTTTAATTTGGCTCAGATGAGTTCTACTCTTAGTCGACAAATCGATTATCTGATTACGATAGATTGTCACACGACAGTGTGTGAGCAGTTTTGTGTTAACAAGTAATAAATATTTGTATAAGTCCGAAAATTAATTTTACAAAATCCTCAATAATTGTAGAATGGAAGAAATACCAGGATGGTGAAGAATGTCGATTAGAAAATACGAAGAAAATTGGTTCAAAAAATCAACCAATTTATTAAAATTATATTTAGTGTCATTAAAAAATAATATAATATCTATACATAAAAATAATGTATATTATATTTTATTAATCTTTGAAAATTTTAAATATTGGGTTAAAAAATCAACTAATTTATTAAAATTATATTTACTTTCATTTATTCTTATGTTTATTATATTTTATCGACTATTGACAATTTTAAATATTTTTAAACACTGATATAAGATATTGATGCAAAAAATAATTATTTGTATATATGAGTACGTCGTTTATTGGGTATAACTGGTATATAATATTAGATTGGCGCTTATGTCCCATATATTTCGCAACAAATGATATGACATTTTTGTATTTTTACGCTTATGTCATGTATAGCCAAAATTTTTAATTTTTTTATTAATGATGTTATCGCCGCAACGAACCGCCAAGCTGTCTTCACATTTCTTCAGCATTTCGAGTCACCCATCAAAAATACCCTCAAATCTGGTCAAAATCACTATAACTACCAAATAACCGCATAAAAAAAGTGTGAATATAATCCCATAATGTTACATATTATAACTATTATAATATTTGTGGACTCCGTGTCGACTACGGTCCCAGGACTGGGTCACGGTGGTTGGATACGTGTGTTAAGAAATATTATAATATTCATTGAAAAATATTGTACTTTAAATAGCAAAATTTATAAAATTATAACAGTCATATAATTAACTACGTAATTAGTTTATAGTTATAACAACGTTAGTTGATATTTATTTCAACTGTTGAAATATTTCCGATAGTGACTTAAACATTGGCGCAAATCGCATTTGTGCTAAGGGTGCTTAGCACCCTGAATTTCAATGCTAGCACCCCGAATTCCGTGATTATAACTTATAGTACTACTACCATAATACTTCCATAAGTAATTATATTTATTAAAAAAATTAAAGAAGATTTATTTAATAATTTGTATTAATAATAATAGGTATGTTGAGTGTTTGTCTGGATAAATTAAACTATTATGAGTTATGACAATGACATATAATATATAAGATGTAAACTGTATATATAATTAATGTTGTGATTATGATAAAAAATTATTGTATTAATAAACATTGAACATTGAACATATAACGATATCGAATATGCTCACCTACACAGACCGCGACAAAACTATTTTAATCCTATTCTGTAGAATTACTCATACATTGCCCTACAACGTCAACGACGGCAAAAAAGTACATTTATATAGTATAATAATAATGATTCCGCATTAAAGGATTTGTTTTCAATAAACACGGAGTGTTAGAAGTCTGAAATGATAGTGCTAGAAACTGTGAGATTCAACTTACTGAAAAATTTGGATTCAAAAAATTATAACAGGTAATCAGTAAAACGGTTTATCAAAATTTATTTAAGCTGCTTAAAGTTATTCACATTAAAATAGATATACCTAGTTCTTAATAATGAAATTATTTTAAATAAATATGCTGAAAATAAGCGAACATTGCAATTAAATTTTTAATGAATAAAATAAATTTGTTTCGCTTAAAAAGTTTGGATTTATAGTTAATTGTATTTTATTAATATTTATATATATGGTGTAGTACTTGGGGTGTGTAAGGGCCATAGTCACTCACGCGTCCGTTACCACCAAAATTTGTTTGGTGCTTAAGCCCCCCAATATTTTCGGGTGATTTGCGCCAATGGACCTAAAATTGTAGTAATACATTTATTCCTCAAAAAATTCTAAAATATAATAATATAATAATTTAATCCCAAAATAACACTTTTTTTAAATGAGTTAGTTCGATGCATTCAAATGGTCGAGAGACTATAATATTAAGATTGAAGTTCCAGTTTATTGCAGTTAACTATAATTTAATAGGTGCTTGATAACGTAGTATATGGAGTTAAACTAATTCTTCCATTTTTGTATTGAAAATATATTTTTTAGAATTCAAAAATTAATTTTAGGCGCCGGGTTGCTTCAACAGAAGTTGAATAAAAATTAACTAATTAGAAATTAAAATATTGAAAAAATTTAACCCTTTAGTTATTGCAGGTTATTAATTGATCTCACTTAATAATTAATCGTGTAGGCAAATTATTATAAAAAGGTTCAAGGGAGAACACATCATTATTTGCTAAATAATATATTGGTTAGTATATTTGAATTAAATATTTGTAGGTATTTACTATTTAGTATACTACACGAACCAAGATCACGTGAATCTATTCTTAATTTTTAGTGATTTTTTACAAGCCTGCAAGAAATTTAGTAGTACTGTGTAAAGTTAGACAGGTATAGGATTTCTACCACACATAATCAATAGTTTTTATTAAAACTATAGAAACATTTGAACTGAATGACTACTGAAGCGTTTTGTTTTTGTATAACTTTATTTGTTATAATAAGTAATAACTACGAGGAACATTTTTTGAATGTATACGGACACACGGTCCGATGGTCAAAACCAGTCATACTCAACTTGTGGCTCAACAACCTTTTTTTTTGTGGCCCACAAAAACTCAAAACCAAAAATCACACTGGTTTGAAAATTATATTTAATGTTATTTGTCATAAAATAAATCATAAAACGTTATAATCATCATATAATTTGTGTATGTATTTTTAATTGCTTTATTTTTATGCTTCGTGAATCGTCCCCACCCAGGCAACCCAATTACTCAATGTTGCCTCCCGAGTAGTACGTAATAAACCATATATTATGTAGGTGACCCAAGTAAAAAACACAGTGTGACTAGTCTAAACGAATCGTCAGCCTGGTGAATCGCTCAAGACGTCACTCCACAGTCAGAAAGGGCTGCTCGGTTGCAGGACACGATATAGGGTATATCAATACAACCGGCCTCGTAGAATCGGGATTTAGCCGGTGCGATTAAATCCGCCACTAATTGACTTTGGACTTATACAGTAACCATATACGTCTGTATTGATTTGGTGCGGAACATAAATCGGTTACATTACACGCACGCGATGGTCAGAAACTCTAGAAGCTCTCGAAGCTCTAGAAAAAGTAAAAATAAAAACCTATAATGACTTTAATTGTCTAGCCCTGACAAAATTTCTTAAGAAATGTCTATACGCTCGTTCAGTTTAACAATAACTAATACGTCAATATTAGAATTGTAGTAGTTTTATATATATAATAGATAGGGTAGGTATGTATAGAGTTTCGACCAAATGCAAACAAATTATATGTAGTGTATTACTTCGTACATCCAAAGGTCTCATCATCGTTCTTTTGTTTGTAAAATCTTGAACGTCTTAAAATCACAAACATCAAACTATAACGGAGTGAAATAACAAAAATCGATCTGCCAGTTTCGAACATTGGTGAACATCATGCAATCTAATCTATGCAGGGAGATCATATTCTATTTTTATTTTAGTTTATGTCTGAAGACACTTTTTACAGTAGAAAAAAAGCTCGGATCTATAACATCGAGAAAAGTTTCCGGTAGAAAATTGGATTTATAGTGTATTTTTGAGGGTCAAAAGTAAAAATTTATCAGAAATTTACAATGAATAATCAGGAAAAACCGTTGAGATTGAAATTTTTACCAAATATTTATATTATCATATTCTAAATATTTTTCTACCCACATTAATTCTTATGATGGTTCGAATTTCGAATTTTAAAATTAGTTTGATTAATAATAATTTTATTTTTTTTATTTTTTTTTATAAAATTAGTTGTATTTAATAATATTTTACGGCCAATTTTAATTTCAGAACTAAATTTATACTAAATCATGCATAAATGACTGATGTAAATAACTAGCACAAAAACCATTTTAGAAAATCGGAGAGGCTAATCTACTAATAAAATAATAACCTTTCCAATAAAAAAACAAATATTGTCTGAAAGTAGAAACTGTTTTATATGTATACACAATAATTATACAGGAAAAAATGTCAGTTCAATATTTATTTGTTTTATTTTTTCTGTGGACCTCTGGCACTCGCACAACATAGACAAGACAGACCAAAGGATTCAGTTGATTTTTGTTTTTGAGTAATCGTAAAGTAAAAAAAGTTATAATCTATTTAAAAACATTTTGAGGAAAATATTTTTTGAGTTTGATACATCGGTTAGTCTAAATATTACCTCAAAACAATTTAGTTTTTTAATTTTAATTTTTATAGTTGAATGTATAAAGTTATATAATAATAATAAAATATAATACTTAGTGATGTTAAAAATCTCCAAAAATATTATTCTCTTTAATTATTGTAATATTTATGTGATTTTAATCTTGATTACTCCAAAATCACAAAAAATGTAAACGTATTTTGTGGATGATGTGCACGGGGCTGAGAGATAAAACCAACATTTATATTTGTATTAATCTGCTATTCAAGTATGTAGTGTTTTTGTTACAGATATGTTTCTGTTATTATATGTTTTTTGGGTGCGAATAATGAAAGCAATTCTCTATAATTTATGATAGATTTTTAAGATATGTAAGAGCCCCTCTCTAATATTTTCTATGATCTCCACCTGAACTCAATACAGCAAATTATAGCAACAATAATACTGACAATAAGCGATAATAATAACGACGTGATGTACACATATAACCATAACTTATGTATAGACAGATAATAATAAATCAGTTAATAACTGTACCAGGATTTTTTTCAAGGTCCTTTGTGTTTTTGTCAATGAGTCTGTACAGATTGTCGCACAATGACTTGCGTTTTCCGAACACGTTGAACAAGTTCCACAAGTACAGCAATTCAATGGCGGGCATGAACAGCCGATTGTTCTGATTGGTAAACCTTTGAGATCTCTTCACGGCAAATTTTTCCATTGGTAACGATTTCCCAGCGATCCTCTGTTTGTATTTGGGCACGTCGCTGCAGATCACACAAGCAATAATAAATAATATAATACCCACCTGTGCATGTTATAATAATTTGCTCATAGAACGACACCGGCTCAGTGCTCGGGCTTTGAACCGAAACACATTTTTCGCATTTTCGTTTTGCTTTTGTTTTCATAGGTTTCTCGGCGGTGTCGAAAACAACAGGCTTGTTTTAAACACGTAATAATTATTGATTTTGTTCAGCATTGAAGTACACAATATACATTTTTTGGGGGGTTATATGTTTAATGTACAGCGTCAATATTATTATATGGCCACTATCCAATATTTTTTCATATTATTATTATTGTTGATGGTGGTGTTTTAGCTATCGAAAACGATAAAATACGAATGTTAATATATTTAGGTAATAAGTCGAATATTACGAGAATATTAAATGAAATTAAAATAGTACTCCGGTAGGCACTTATTAATTGGTATAGTAATAGTATGTTCTTTATGGCTACCGGGCATACCGGCTACCGTTTATACGTACTGTTTGGATTGTTTTCGGTACAAAGCTTTGACAGTGAAATTTAAAAAAAAAAAGCAACAAAAAACTTAAGCGCCAATTTAATAACGACATTATCATGTCGTGTAAGGTGTTCACTTACGCCATTAGCTGGTTGACCGTATTGAGCTCGTCGCGGGACAGACAGTTGTATCCTCGCATGAGCATTATGCACGCGCGCTGGTAGTTGTATGTAGTGCGTGACCACTTGCTCTGCTCGGCCAATTTGGCTGCGTACGTTTCTGCCCTTTTCCAGTTTAAGGCAACGCTAAAACGTATCGCATTAGGTATAATGTACACACCGCGATCCGTATACCGGTACCGTGGTATATCAATGTATTAATATTTAACATATAATATATAATTAATATAATCGAGTCGCTGTTATTTAATTTCAAACCATTTAATGATGTTGAAAAAACATTACTGTACCCATAGGTTAATTTTTTTTCCAGTGGGTAAACATCATCTTGTAAATTATTAAAATTTTTGAAAATGTATATTTTAATTTTTTTTTTTTAATTTTGTAATTTTTATTATTTAAATCCTTGGCATCTAAGGCCATTGGCTGCAACAATTTTGCAAGGTTTACATTATATTGTCTTAGAGTACATTAATATTATTGTAGTAGTTACAAATGATGATTAAATTAGTCTTAATTATAAATGTCAGTGTGTAATTTATGTTGTCTGGATGGAGGGGTTCAGAGAGGGTGTCCAGTACTCCGGCTTCCCGTTTATCCATTTCATAGAAGAAGCATTCAGTTGTGATACTTATTAGATCGATTTTAGTTTTTAAGAGATAATAAAAAAAATATATTTGAAAAACAGGTAAACAAAAATATTTGTCACAGTTATTATTTTTCCAGGTATTTACTTTTTTAACTGACAACATACATTTTTTTAATTTCACATTATCCCAGCAGTATATGTTTCTATAATATATTGGGTATATTATTATACGAACCAATTGGCCCAGCACAGTTCCCAGTAGCATATGTGGTGGAATTGTGGCCACGAGTCTTGGGACTCCACCGAAGCCGTGTACCACTTGATTGCGTCGTCCACGTCACCGCGCATAAACTCCAGGCGCCCTTTGAAGTACAAGAACCACGCACCGTTTGGATACAGCTGATCATGTAAATTTATGAAAATATATAATGACGTATAGATACTTATTTCATGAAATAATATGATAGATTTTTACCTACCGCAAATAATTCCCAACTGATTCCCGAATACGCGTAGGTTATAAATTTATATCTAAATCCTATAATTGCGGTTTACGGATTATAATATTTAAGGACTTTTTACAATAAAAACATTAATAAAAGAATGGTGATAGAAAAAATTATATTTTACATAATATGACAAATGCGTGGCGACTATTTGAAATCAACAATTTTTCAATTATCTTTTCGCTGTAAATTGTTAAGCAGATGATTTTTTTGAAAATGTTGATGTATCTAAATCAAAACTTGAAGGAGTGGATACTGATACAGACTGAGACCTGAGTTATTAAAATGAACGTCTACACTAAGAATAATTGTCCTTAAAAATAATTGTATACAAGTATAAAATATATTGGATATAGTATTTATTATAGTCGGATAATTTGTACACATTTTTCAAATGTTGAATGATTAACATTAATTACAAAAATATCTCCCGAACCCATTATACCATTGAACCATTATATATGTTTACAAATAATATCCTACTCCCTAGTACACAATGTTTAAATAACTTAGAAATATTAGTTCAAATTTTGATTTAGATACATCGACATTCGACATGCTAAAAAAAAGTCATACAATTTATAATTTACAGGAAAAAAGAGTGATTCTCATTTGCTTGGAGAATCAACTGTATAATATATGTACAATACGAGTGCGTTCTATGGTTAATGCTGTGTACCTAAAGCTCTTTAATCCGATTACCGTTTTTATTTTGTCAAAGGTCCCACTAATCTGCTCCCCCCCCCCCTACAAGAAAATATATATACGTAGATATACACACTATGCAATATGCATGTTATCAGTGCGGTGTGTTATGGTACAATAAATAATACAATAAATTTAGCGATGGAAACAAAACCTTACCGTCAGCTGTTGTCGCAGCGCTGCGTCACAAAACTCCAAGTCACCTTCCTCCTGACTGAAAACGTACACCACGACCAGGTGGTACGTGAGCATGGTAAGCACGCACAAGACGTGCCTCAGTCCATGTGGCACTTGGTAACACAATTCAAGTTCGGCAAGGCCCTGTTCCTGTGGTTAGAAACTATTTTTAATATACTTGCATTCGGGAAAGAGACAGGTAGTTTATAAAATGATTCATAACAGCTAATTTAATATGACACCACCTTGGTATAGGTAGGTATATCATACTTATGGATAATTTAGGAAAGGGTAGGACATTTGCAGCTATATTTTTTGGTGTCGCTATGTTATCCCGACTATTACCCCGATGCCGTGACTACAGCCAGTCAACAATTTTGTTATCTCGTGTGATTTACAGAGAATAAATCAAAATTACTACGTTTTAGGAAAGGTAAAAATTGTCCGATTTCTATACGGCCTACAATAGTTTAATCAGTTTTTTTTTCATAGATAATTTAAGCTTAGAACACAACTCAAAAAATCAAATATTTTGACATTGAATGACAACCAAGTACAAAAATATGTTCTAAAAGATAGCGTATAATAAATAATAATAAGAAAATGGCCAAAATGACTTTTTCCTTTTATTCTAGTTCTGTCCAATAAAAGCATAAAAGCAGTATACTTGTTTGTTATCATCCCGTCACTTGGCAGTATACAAGTTATCGCCCCAAACCAACCGGTGATCTTAAGTAGCAGTCTTTAATCCGAAATGTTGATATTCTTGATCGGTATTGTTTTGTGTCTCTATGATATCTTACGTGTTGGTTAGTCTAGTTTCTAGTATGTGATCTATCCATGAAAAAGGTGTAAAAACTTCTTAGAATTTTCGAAATTGTATTTTATAATAATTTAATCATGTTAGTATCCTATGTTGTCAGATTTTCGCTGTATTTCATTAGTCATTTAAAGCATGGCTGCTAAATACTTAAATAATTAGCCACGATTTAAAGTGTGTACCTACTTACAAACGTTATTAGCTTATTTTTAAATATTATTAAAAATGTATTTTAATGAGTTATTTCCAGAAATATTTAATACTGACGTTCAATTTTCACAACAAAAACGTATCGTTAAAATAAATTAAATGTTCAACAATTGTATCCTTAAAAAACTTTCTAATTTATAAAATATTAATTATTAGCTATGCTACTGTACATTTTAAACAATATATTATTATTGAGTATAAACTATTATTTGAAAGTTTTGTATTAGTACTTAAAAAATACCACAGTAGGTTTAACGGATGGTCACCCGGTGGCGGAGCGGTTCATTTTATACAGCATGGTAACCATATTATAGTGGTTAGATTGATAATGTGCCTCTCTTGGCTGCCGTTTTGATTATAGAGCATCATACGTCTTGTTTTGAGTATGCATAGCATGTCCTACCGATTCCTTTATTATCAGTGGTTGTAACTTATAATCATAAAATAATACGTTATCGTGGGCGTCCAACCGAAAGGCACCACCTATAAACGGAAAAGTGACGTTTTCGTAATACATTTAGTTTTTTTTCGTCGTTTATATACGTCAACGTCATCCAAAACACTATTATCTATTAATCTGTGTAGCACAGTTTTTGCACCGGAAGCTGATGGAACAAAATATGGTAGGCAAAATATAAATAAATAGTGACACATGCGCAATAATTTTATTTCTGCTTTCCTGCTGCTGTTAGCTGGAATGTGCTAGTGTATAAAAAGAGTGAATCGGCGGTGCCTTTCAACTGCAGAACTCCCAGTTCCCACGAATTATATTACAAGGTACATTTTATATTCATAATGTATGCGTTTCTTAGAAAAATGATTACTTTGCTCCCGGAAAATCCGATGAATTCCAGTAGTTTGATTATTTTCGACGGCAGTAACGAAATCATCTGCACACACGTGGAAAAATAAAAATACACAATATAAATTGAAATTCGTATACGTCATTTTATTTAATACATTTATAATGTATGTGTGTAGTGTGAAAGCATAAAAGTGAGGCGATAGTGCATACACAACGATCGAAACAATCGTGGCGACTATTAAATAATGATATATTACTACAGGGCGATTCACCATGATTCCTCTATACCCATTTTTTCTTCAATGATGAATTTATTTCAATTCAGATTTTTGGGAATTTTAGGTAGGTATACTTATGAACCGTGTTCTTTCAGTTATTTATATCTTAATTTCCTTTTTTGGAATGTCCAATGACAATACAAACTAGTTTTTACCGTAATATTAGTATCTATACCTTAATTAAAATTTGAATATGTAATTTTTTAGTTACCTATTAATATTATGTATATTTTTAGTTTTTATCAATTATTATCACGAAAGTGTCATCAGTGGGTGGCTTCTTCAATCAAAATTTTCAATTCCTTGTCAATTAGCTCATACTCATATTGTGCCATTGTCTACAGATTGTGTATATTATTAATAAAGTAATAAAAAAAAACCAATAATTATAAAAGGTTGATAGATTAAATATTATAACTACAGAAGTCTTTAAATAATTATAGCCCCAATATCTTACAACCCATTATCATATACATATAATCATTAGTAAAAACAGATACAAAACTCAATAATTATTAGTTCGGATTACAATTTAGATGATTCAACATTTTCTAAAAAGTCATCAAATTAACAATTTACTAGAAAAGTGGTGTTTTTCGTTTTAAAAAAAGAAGTTGTATGTTACAGGACACTTCTTAAATTATATCAAATTCTAAGTATTTGAAAATTGGCTCTCTAAGTATACTTACAAATTCTAAAAATCAGATTTTTAATACATTTATTATTGATGGGAAAATTTTTGGTGAGCATATTTGGTGAATACTATCTGCATAATATTATCATTAATATTATATATTTATCTGTATACGTATATTCTTTATAGTTTCTTGTACGTAATACTTACCAGATTAAAAGCTCCAATACCCAGACGCACGCCGCTCTCGAAATGTTCTTTGTAAGACTTCTCGTTTTCGGACCATGCGCGAGAGGTAAGTATGACGTTACATTCTCTATGAAAAGACATCATAATATTTTGCTTGCTAAATATTTATTAATTTAAGAACTAACACACACACACACAAACAATTTTTGGCTTATACGTGTACTAATTTATTAGTTCAAGACAGGGACTACAATTGTAATCAGACGGTAAATTTCACTAGTTTTGTGCAAAGCCCGGAATATTATTGTGTAAATCACGAAAATAGAACTTCTGTTTTAAATTATTATAATAAGTGTCCAAAACCAGAAATCTTATTATTTTAGTACATGGAGTTACACCAAACATTAAAAACTTGAATTATATTGATTTTAAAAGTTTTAGTACTTGGTTCATATTATAGTGCTCTTTATTTTAAGTTTTGTCCGCTAGTACTAAAATTTATGAGAACATTTTAGATTCATTTTTTTTTTAAACTTTGAATTAATGTTTAGGTTTACTACTTTTGTTACAAACCGTTATAGAATTATAGAATTAATATACGTATATATTATTCATACGTTTTGAAAAAATTACCAAAGTACCGAAGATTTCACAAATATGAATAGAACTTTAGTTAGAAGCATAACAAATCGAACGTGATTTAAGCCAAAACAACCAAAAAAAATATTTATTATGTAATTTGCACCATCCTGTACCTACAAAAATTTTAATTTCCGGCGTAAAATAAATGCTATATTTTTATATTTTGGCTCAAATTACATAAGCGCTTATTGGTGACGATAATAATTGCAAGTAGTACAAATGGTCCAAAATACCGTCTCCCCAAATTTTAACAGCAGAAGAACTGCTGAAGCAAATATGACCATTATTAAGCGCAACTATTTGTGACATTAAAATATTGTCTAATAAAAATCTAATAATATCATTAATATCTAACAATTATTTATATATTATTATGTGCAATATGACATTACTAAACCGGTTGGCGCGTAGGAGTTAAGAGGGTAAATAATATAAGTATTACTCAGTATTATTTAGGTAACTTCTAGGATATAGCTATATCACATGACCAGGCGAAAGACTTAAACGTCTTGGTCGTACGATACGGGTTACGAGATGAACACATACTTGTACGAATTGTAGCAAGATCGTATTTTAATGCCAGCGCGGATGAAACTGACTAACGTCTCATCCTCGATGAATGTCAACAGCGCTTTGAGTAACAGTGCTTCGGCAAAACACAGTTCAGCGTGCAACTCGTCTGTACAGGTAATAAAAGTAATAATAATTAACAACAGGTGTTATATTATGTAAGACATTAACTGTTTCAGTATACGCCGAAATAATTTAATCGTACTGCGCATGCAACTGGTTCAATATTATATTATTGTACAATGTTCACTTAAGATAGGTATTATTCGTACTCTCTTAGGTATAGATCTCTTTTTGGTTATTACTTATTAGGTATCGTGTAAAATGTTTGTTTTAAAAGCAAGATAAAATCAATTAAATTACTTTGTATGATAAACGATTTTGATGGAGAACAATTTTAAAAATAAAAATAATTTAATGCTGTCGTCCAACACTAACAATAATATAATTGATGTACACTTATACACTGTCGAAACATAGTAATTGGTTTAATGCAGGATAGGTGTGACGATAAAAATGCCAATAAACGCAATAAAGAAGTAAATATATCTCTACAAATGACAATAAATTGAATTTTAACTATCCACCGCTCATAATAATATATTATAAATATATCATTGAATTAGTCTATAATAATATTAAGGTACATGTTTTGTTCGGACAATACATGTATTATGTAGTAATATCCAACTCTAACTAAGTACCTATCCATTGTATGAAGTTATTATACTAGTATATAATATAACCAGCAGGATTCAGCCGATTTACAAATAAAACTGTCGGTAAACACTAAACACCCCTAAACGGACTGTCACCCATAAGCGGAAAATATGACTTAAATGCAACCCAAAGCGCAGAAAGTACCAAGTATATTAATATGTTATTGACAATATTTTTTACACGAATAAACAATAATATTTTATAACTAAACAATTAAACATAGTGTTTACGTATTTTATGGGAGCATTAAAATATTAAATAAAGTAGTTACAAAAAACAGTTTATTTTTAAAAACGTATTATACAATACAAAATAATGAATACCTATAGTAAAATAATTAGTTTATTATGCCTATGTTTATACGTAATATATTGTCATTAATAACCTATTAAATAATTTTTAATTTAAAATCAATTTTGTAACTCAATACTGAAAGTTAGCTATCAATTAAAATATAATGGGTTTTAACTTTTAACTATACTAAATAATAAAACTGAATTTTGTGCTTTTATCCCATTGTTAAAGTATAAAAGCGCACGTCGATTTTGCGCCTTTAGTCTATCTAATAAATAATGAGATTTGCGCTTTTGGACACTACCGGATAAAACGTAAATTTGAAAATAAAACCATTATTATCAGTATGTATTCCTGTTGATTGCGTTTTCTTGAATGTATTGATGGTAAATATTAATCATTTAAAGTACATTATATAATTACCGTAGGCCGCCAGACGCAACTCAGTGAGGTTATATTATGCACTCCAAAAATGTCTTGTTTAATAAAAATAATAAAACGTTTTAAAAATTCTTATCTTTTGCATTTAAACATTATAATGGCAATTTTTAGAAAATTTTTAAAATTGATTTTGAGATTTTTTACGACTTAAACAAATAGATCGAAAATCAAGCACAGTATTTGAATTTTAAATCGCTAATGGTTATTTCAAGTAGCTGTATAACTTTCATACGTAATAATCAATACGTTTTGCTACATTCGATTTTTTTTTATCACTGAAGCGTGTACAACATATAGGTGGAAATGAGTACGCACTTATATAAATACTCATCAAGATCATTTCTTGGAATGAGAAGTTTAGAAGAAATATATTTAGCAATAACAATGGTAATATATCGAATTTAAATAAACGTTTAGAAATGTAATGTATTATGTTGTAGTGTTTATTATTTGGAAATGTATACAATAGCTGATAGAGTTGAACTTACAGAATGTACAACGAAATTCTGTTCATATTAATGTGTACAACTTTCAGATCATATCCTGTTTATAATACGTCTATATTACGTGCCTTACAAAATTGTAGTTCCCTTTAAAATAAAGCTTTTGTTTCATTAATTGTACTTATAAGTTCTAGGTAGGTATAATGTACCTACGTATAAATAGAAAATCGGTAACAGTGCATTTTTTTTACAACGTGTGTTCGTGTACATCTTATACATATTATTAAAGTACCTATATATAATGCATAGTGATCACACGTTATAGTAATTTTCAGGATCATGAACATGATACGCTTTGATCATCTGCAGGGATCAAGCCCAGGTTAAACCATTGTGTTGATGAACTTTTTAGTTAGGTTCTCTATAAAAAAAGAGCTTAAAGGTTTATATTTATTATTTTAGTATGAAGGTACATGAAGAAAAAATTGTTTAGCATATTTTAAAAATTCTTTAATAATTTCATACCTAATTGTTATTGTCATTGTCTGCAAATCATAATTTTCAGTTGCCAATATAATTAAGGCAGATACATATTGAAACGTCAATAATAATCAACACCAAATTAATGTTCAGTAATGTTCCATCGATACATTCTGCAGCGACACACAAGGAAAACCGGCTCACCCAAGGAACATAATATAGTTTCTATATTTGATTTATTATTTCCTCTAAATCTAGGCTAATCTGTAGTCAGGTAATATAAAGCTAACATCTGCTTCTCTACGATTTAAATCAATATTTTACTTTTATTTTGTTACTCGTTAGTCTTATATTTTTCTTCACTTGTTTCCTTATTGGTACGCTATTTCAAAGTCATTTAACAACTTATTACAGTATCATATATTATTATGTATCTAAGCACAGAGTGGTTAGGGGGTCAACTACCTCACCCCTGAAATATTTTCTAGTCATGCTACAGCATTCAAAAACGTATTGATATAAATAGCATACCCGGAGTGTACGAGTCGTAGTTAGGCTTTTTCATTATGTTCCCGATGGACTGCGTCAGCGTGGTTTTTCTGCGATACGAATTGCACAAACGGATACTGGATTTCAGCGCCGCGGACGCTTTTTGTATGCTCGCCTGTATCAAGAATTATGTGTATTCATAAAAAAACATGATTTTGTTATTATTTCAGGTGAATAATATATATATCACTGGTGTTATTATTATACTGCAGAGTGATTCATCAAGTATGATCACCTGTATTTTTTCCACGAATAGCTAATTTATTTCAATTTTAACTTTGGGAATTTTTAAGTATGGGAGCCATATTTTCAAATTCTTAAATTTCTATACCATTTGAGGAGTGCCTTGTGGTGATACCAATTTTCACAAATAGTCTGCTTAATAGGTTGTCTCACACCCGTATTTCTAGCATATAACAACTCCAAAACTACTAGTTGAAATGTTAATTTAGATGCATAATAATGTTTGAAAAAATCACCAATACAATTTAAAGTAAAAATAGTTGTTTGTCGTTTAAAAAAAAAATTGTTAGTGTAAAATATAGTCTAAGAATTTCAAAATATGGTTAACGTATACGTACATACTGTATATATGCATAAAAATTCCAAAAATTAAAATTTGATTAAATTTATTATTAAATGAAAAACAGAGGTGAGCATGTTGGTGGATCAGTCTATATATGATGAGCAATTCTGTTCAAAGTCATATTATGCGATATTGTGATCGACGTCATCAATCTGTTTTGTGCCTTACTTTTTTTTACCGGTCTAAGCATTCTCAACCTGCCAATTGTGTTTGATGTATATAATTAAAAGTGTATTATAAAAAAAAATATTAATAGAAAGATTGTACAAGTAGCATGATGTACAAATATTAATAAATACAACTAAATAATTATTGCTGGGGACGCGGCCTTGACACAAACTAGACCTAAAGAATCAAACCGCGGTTTTGTTTTTATTTTTTGCACACAAGGCCTTGACAAATAAACAACACATTTTAAGTCAAAACACAATTGGAAAAAATATATATTTAGTGTGTGATTTGCATAGTATTAAAATTAAAAAAAACATTAACCTGTTCAAATGTGAGTAAAGCTTCTAGAAACAAAAAAATTGATCTCCCAATGGTGTGATACATACTCGTTCCAACCCTATAAAATCGTAATTAAAATTTTAGATTAAACGATTGACAAACCACAAACATCTTAATTTTTAAACATATAACAATATAGTTGGTAGTAAAATTTATAATATTATTAAGTATAATTTTTATCACATGTACAATAGATACTATACTTAATAAACGTCATAGGTATTACGGTATAACATATAATAATAAACATATCAACATTTATCGTGTTACACTATTGAACCATATAAGTCCCTACACTAACATATCCGGTAACGCGATAATGGTGATATTTTTAAATTTTAAATAGAACAACATTGAAACTATAGGTAGTATATACATAATAATAATAATACCATTGGCGTCCATTGCAAAACAACAAAGTGAACAGAATATATTTTTAAAATCATTATTCAAATCTTCTTATTCATGCTACATAATGCAATAATATATATGTAACGGAATATTTTAAATATTTATCAACCATTTTTTCATTCTGTGGACAGAACCTACAACTTTATCGTATTTATAAGGAACGCTTAATTTTTAAGATACAATGTAATATTATTATAATATCAATAATATATTACATGTAACGTTCAGAGTTTTAAATGCGTACATTATTATTATCATTTTTTTTTTGCCTGTTTACACAACTGATTTATTCAAAAATGTTACAAATATTATGGTACCCATTATAATGTCAACGCTATGCCAGTACAGCGAACGCATACAAATTAGGTATTAAAATCGACTTTGTATGGAAATTAGTGAAAACCCATTAAAGTACCATTTTCACACTGCTTGCCAAATGGAGAAGTATTAAGGACCAAACACAGATTAAGGGAGCCTAACAAAATTTCTTGGTCTTTCATTTTGGAACTCGAGTTCCGACGTCTCGTGATAAAACCACAACAATGCTAGTCTAGTGAACTGTATGCCTAGATACTCGAGAATTTTCTGAAAGCTTTCGCGTAAAACGAGCATAACGTAAGTGCAATCGGAACTAGTCATAAAGGAACATGCAGTTTTAAAGTCACTACTGAAAAACATTTTCAAAATATGTTGTGTATATGAATACCTTAATGAGTAGCAGTCGGTAAATACTGAAAATAATTACTCTATTATTTAAGTCTTAAAAGTTGTTATATTTAATATTTTTATTATGTTGCAAGCAAACCCGTCATTATTATAAATGTAGGCACAAAATATGTGAATTTAAATATACCAATTGGATAACTGCAGCCATTGAATGTTAAAGTATTAATTATAAAAAATTAATTCATATATTTAACTTTTTTCTTAAATACAGTAATTTATATAGAATTTATAAACATAAATTGTTTCAGTTTTTAACTACGTTGGCTATAATTAAATATATTTGTACCTTGAAGTATGATTATATTTTTTGTCTTTGTGTAAAGGGGCAACAAAGAACAGTACCGTAAAACTTCCTCCCCGGTCTGCAAATTTGTTAGCACAGCACTGCGTTGCGAATAACAGCTATGTATAGCAACATTATATGTAATATAATATATTATGATAATTATCAATTAATCATTATTCATTACTTTTTAAGTACTTAAATATACACTTTATTGTTATCACAGCCAAAATTAAAATAAGAAATTCAATGAAATTATTTAAAACAAATGTTATGCGATCCACGATAAAAACTACTTATATATGCTTAATTTATGTATAGGAAAACCGTAAAAAAGCTTCTCTCTCAAAACTTTATTAACTTATTAACTTTAGTGCAAAAATGTAAATAATTGATAAATTACCTCCTCGTTCAGATTTTACAAATTTTCAAAAAAAATTATCCACTAAAAATAATTTATAGTAAAAATGAGGATTCTCATTTGAAAAACAGATGTTTGTATGGCCACAGGTCATTCCTTATAAGCACCTAATACGAAAAAATTCAAAAATTTGAAAATATGTTCTTTGACTATACTGAAAAATTCCATAAACAGAATTTGAATAAATATAATATCAAAGAAAAACATGGGGGTGAGCATGCTTACTGGTGAATCATCCTGTATAATTGTATACAGAATGAAAAAAAATACACTGAATACTATATACCTAAAGATACTAAACGACATTAGAATTCGAAACGTGATTACAAAAGCGGGCGAAGAAGATGAATAATATCTATTTTTCAGTCAAACAAGGTCTACAAGGTCTAAGAGTAGATTACAACGGTTTAATGCAATTTCGAGTATAGAATTTGCCATAAAACGGTCCACAAGGTAATTCGACAAGATTGTTGTAATGCAATTAAAAAAAAAGTGTACATATTATTAAAATACATTATCCGCTAACACGGTGCCGTTTATACTCGTTTGTAACGCCCATACATTACATCGTACAATTACAAGGTGATCCATTATTTAAACTTGTCTACACTCGTCACTAATTAAATAATTAAACAAAAACACTATATTTTTATTGTTTTAGATTCTGAGCGGAGCCAAAACAGTTTTGATTTTACAATGATGTGTTTTTAAAAATAAAAATTTGTGTCATCACCTTTTGGGGCAGTAAAAATTCTTACATTTTTTTTTTGCAGCATTGGTAGGAAAGTGAATTTAGTTGGTACTTTTTTTTTGGAGGGGGGTGGAGCGAGGGGGGTCAAAAGTAAATCGAGATAAGTAAACTCGAGAAACCCTGATTTTTAAGCAAGACCAGCCTCAAAAACCAATAACCAAGATATTTATTTCAAATTTTCATGAAATGGTATACGATAATTTTCTTTACATAAAAATGTTGATTCTTTTTGAGCTCTTTATAGGTATGAAAAATGAAAAAAAATTTTTTTAGTTTTTTTTCTGTAAATGTCGATAAAAAAATATTTCAATGTGTCAAAAAGCTTTAAAATGTAATACAAGATTCCTAATCTATAGTTATGATAGCAATTTAAAAAGATTTCAGTTACATGGGTATTGGGTATCCATGCATAATTTTTTCCATAAGTATTAGAAGTTTAAATTGTCAAAATTCATCAAAATTAAGAATATTTGCAAATTATTTTGTAGGAAGTTAAACATTTATATAATGTTTGATTTTTATAGCTAATGGTTGAAAATATAAAAGAAGGTGAAGTAAGTAGATCATACTGTAACTATAACACTTAAAATATACATAAACATAGTTTTTTTCATAAATATTTGAAGTACAAATTTGGACGAAATTAGATATTTACACGAAGAATAACGATTTCCGTTATTTTGTGTATGTAATAAAAAATAATATTATTTGTGGGTACTCGAAACTTTTTTAGTTTATTATTTTATTGTGTACGCACAATTATATTTTAATAAAATGCAATTTAAAAAAAAAACGATGTCAATCTACGGTACTGCTAATGTCTAATAGTAGAATGAATAACTTTAATAGCAATAATAATCATACGTTATACGCTAAGTAATATAAACTGATGACAAACCATTTTCACTCAGAATTGTTTTTCATTTACAAAGATTGAATCCTGCAAATGTCGCCCCACACATTATCGGATGTACTTGTGTACATCAGAGTGATGCCCACCCTTATTATAAAAAGTTTGTACTTTTTAAATGTCGACATACATATTTTGATTTTGAAACTCTGAATACTTTTCAGAATAAACTGAGATCCGACATAAAAATACTAATTTCGAACAAGTAGTTATATGCGATATAGGTACCTAAAGATATTTAAAGCTTAGACGAGTGAGTGTATACATTTAAACGGATGTTGAAAGCAGGAAAACACAATTTTACGGTTCGTCCTGTACTGCTGTACGTTGATGTTAGCGCTCTGTTCAGATTTTTCGTACTGGTATATAAATATTGTAATTGAAAAACGTGTTAATAATGTATTTAAAAAAGAGTAATTGCTCCAGTTAAATACTCATAGTCTATTATATTTACATCAAGCGCGGGTGCGTACGAGTTTAAATTTAATATGAATATGTGTAATATATAAGTAGCTTATATAATTGGGTTATAATATATGTTTATAGATTTAACTTAAATACACGTATTACGACTAATGCCCATATGTAGCTATAATATTATAGCAACTTAAAAATTATGTGAATTTATTCAAGAATTGAGACAGCATTTCAAGACGATTGCACAATGTCAAGGTCAGCGTAATATAATAATTTGTACCTACATACAAATATGAAATAATCACTTTTGAACATAATAGAAAAAAACAGCAATTTCGTATAAAACGCATTTCCTATACTTATAATCCCATTGACTATAAGTACAATACAATCATTTAAAATGATTAACGATATTACATTTTTCCGAGTACAGTACACTGTCGAATATTAAATTTTTCGTGCAGCACGCTCATAATATAAATTTTTGTTGTACGTGTTATTCAATATTTATCATAATATATAATATTTTTAGAAATAAATCTTACGTTCCCGAGGTACCCATACCCACTCTATTTTCCTCTAGTTTTTGTATTATAAAACGATGCAGCCACATAATCCATCATAAGGCCTGATAATTATAATATAGTACAGTAGATTCTTCTTCTGTCGAACTTCGATATCACGAACTCGTTTTAAATCTCATTTAAATAATTACTATTGCCATAACACTCGATATCTCGACATTTATTCGGTTCTCCTTGAATTTTGACATACCTAACTAGAGTTTAATGTATGTAATATGTATTGAGCTAAAAACCTAAATTTATTTCAGGCTTTTAGAAAAAAAAAAATTATGGGAAGATAATATACTCACATCCAGTTACACTACATTTAGTTTAAATGATTGTAAAGAGTAAATACAGAATTAATGAATATCAGAAAAGTGGTTAAGCTCAGGTATCAAAATAAGTACTGAAAATTATTTAAAATAAACAATCTCAAAAATGGTTAGTCTCTCCCCCCATCAAATAAAAAAATATAATCTTCCCTCAAAAACGTTTATGTTTTTCCACTTTGCTATTAAATATTATTCCCCTGCTGAGTATATTTTTCTATTCAACTACAAAAACCAATTAGTTTTTGTCAGTGGTTACTCTCTGCGTGGTGTATAATGAAGAAGATGTAGGTATTAAAAAATGTGAAAAAACTTGAAAATTGAATTTTTAAAAACCCTTAAGAACATCAAAAATAAGCACTTTTAAATTTAATATTTGAATATTGTAGTAACTAGCTATACATTTCCATAAAGTTCTGGCTAGATTGTATGTCCAGCAAAAAAAAAATAAGCAAATTTCAAAAAAGTGAATTCTGAACCCTGAATTAATAATATACAAATATAATATGCCTGATACACATTGAACATCTTTCAAATAGATATCATGAGTGCATCAAGACAGGTGAAGTAACATTGTTCGGGCTTCAAGGATATTGGAGGTCTAAAAAAATATATGTACATAGATTTACATAAAAATAGTAAATATCATAAATTGAATTTTTACAAATATGTAGATATATAAAATGGGGCCAGTCTAGGTGCCCAGTGATGTACATTTTCATGAAAAATTTTTATTGTAAACATTTGAATACATTTTTAACTTTCATATTATTTAGTTATAATATTATATTAAACTACATAATTATATTTAAAACTATGTACTAATTGTATTACCATATACTAATTTTAATATTATTTTATTAAATATAATACGGGGAATCCAAACTCTAAATAAATTTATTTCGGTAATAATTAATAAATGTGACTTTTTTTTATCAATTATTGAAAAAGAAGAGAATTAACTCTAGTTATGAGATCCGGCTTTGATATGTGTATATCCGTGTAAAGAAAAGTATACAACTGTTCTATATACGTATTTATAAACGTAGGAAATATTATTTTTCCTGTCGTAAATGAAACTAACCATATAAAATAACATTTTAATATTGTTAACACTGCGAATCAATATAATACATCCATTTTATGAATATAATATACATTATAGTATTAAAGATAGGTACATACCATGGTTCCAATATATGTTGAGCCTCGTCAAATTTATTGTTGAAAAACAAATGTATAGCAATTTTTGAATCCGATAAAGCAGTATTCAAGTCCATTTTACAGTGCCTGAAAATAATTTAATTGATTTAAAAAATAACTGTATAAAAAATTCATAAAACATTATTAAGTGGAATTACTTATAAGTTTAAATTTATTTTAGACGTTATTGCTAATATACTCAAACATTTAATAATATATTCATTCAACATCAATGAATTTTGTGTGTGGAATTTTTGATAGTTTCAATTTCATTCCTTCACATTTTAAGCAAATTAATATTATCAAAAAAAAAGAAATAGATTCTTCATACTTGAAATACCTGTACAACAATGCCATTAATAGTTTACGCATATACGAATAGACATTCTTATAATTCATAAACTATAATATACTACAGTATTTAATATACTTAAGTTCATTGGTAGTATAAAATCAAGTCTTTTCATCCAAATAGGTCAACAACTTTGTTAATATTATTGAAGTTCTTTTTATGTTAATAGTTTCATCTATTTCAATTTAAAATTAAATCCATACGAGAATTTGTCAGGTTTATCATATTTCATCGTTATTATTTGTATATAACTACTCGAATTTTTTTCATAATTTTTTCAATTAGAATCTGAAGCTTAAGAAGTTATTCTTTTTGATTTAATGTAATAAAATTAAAATTTTAATTTCGATTGTTTCCTTTTTTCGATATTATTCCACTTGAAGTAAATCTACGGATTATCCGAATTAATATCTCAGTTCCATTCTATAACAAATACTTATGCAATGTACTGAGTAGGTACTATTGCACTAGTGAGGGGTCATCTGTAATACACATACTCGTACCTATACACTTTAAATACATAAGTAGCCAATAATTAAGTAACAATAATAATTAGGTACCCACTTTATGGCCTACATACTGTTATAAGTTTATAAGCATACGGTAGAACCTCGATTATCCGAACTAATTGGGACCGCACCTAGTTCGGATACGCAAAAGTTCGGATATTGGAAATTTAAAAAAAAATTTAGAATTACATATGTATTAATTATTTATTACTTTTATAATTAAATATTTATTATTGTTATTAATATTTTATTAGAATTACATATATACATTACATTATCAGAAACATTATCATACATTATAAGAAATACATAACATTTATTTTATTTATGTATCATATTTTTTGACAAAATTATCAATTTTAATTTGACGACGAGCTGTTGGATAAAATTCGGCCTGTTTTTCAAATCACTCAAGACCAGTTTCAAATGCAGCAAATGCTTCAGCAGTGTTGGTCCTTTTGGCGTACTCATACTTTCATCAGTACTGCAGTCGGCACTTTCTTCATTTTGCAACAAAGAAATCATTTCATCGCTATCTAATATTTGATATCCTAGATCATTTACATCAGTTGCTAACCAATCAACAGCGTCATCATAATTACAGTCATTAAATCCTGGAATTTCATTAAATAAATCAACAAAATCATTAAGATTATTTCGATCAGTTTCTTCTTCGGCTTCTAACTCCATAGAAGCAACCCACAACTTCTTCCAAGCATTTCGTAAATAACGATGGTTATGATAAATTCGATAAACCGGCCGGCCGACCGGCCGGATACGAGTTTTCATGTTCGGATAACAGGACGTTCGGATGCGCTAATTAAAGTTCGGATAATAGAGGGTTCGTATAACGGAGGTTCGGATAATCGAGGTTCTACTGTAATTACAAAAAAAGGGAGTTTCTTATACTTGTTTTATTTTATTATCAAAGAAATAACATTGTTAAAATTTGGTGGTGTTTCTTTAAAAATAAATTTGTGGTTTTTATAATTTTGTGAGCAACTATTTTACTATAATAGTTATTATACTATACCTATAAGAATTTGATAAATGATTCAAATAAAGTATAACTTGTATCAATTTTATTTTGAAACAAAAGATGTCAATCTATGTTTACTATCCCTGAAAGTATTTGAGGGAAAAAAAACTATATTTGTTCCTCGTTGAAATAAAAAGTAGAATTTTTCAATGGCCTAACCTCAATCTCAACAGAAGAGAACGAATAGCTATCAATCGCCTCCGGATAGGTCATACAAGACTAACCCATAAGTTCCTTATGACTAAAGAAGAACCTCCTCAATGTGTCCATTCTACGGGGTCATCTTAACAGTTGAACACTTATTAATCGAATGCTTGAAGTACGCAGAAGAAGCCAAAAGACATAACATCTCATCTAACATAGACGAAGCTTTAGGCGCCCACACAGAATATATCAACAACATAGTCAATTTCCTATGAAGTACGGACCTGCTCAACCAAATCTAAAGGAAAACGATATCACAACACAACTCTCCAGAAAATGAAAATATTTAGAATTAGTACCAAGTACAAAATTATGATCAATATAACAAATTAGTTAGGTAATAGGTAACAATAAATATTTATTTGGCAACAGCTAAAGCTAATAACAGCTTATAATGTAGGTACTCATACAAAAATTGACCGATATTGAATTATATTTTTACTGTAAGGTTATTATCTTGAGGTAATATCAATAATGACAAATGTAATATGAAAACGAGTGTTTACAACAACAAGAGGCTAAACAAATATGATCATTTAAATTGAACGTTAAAATATAATATGAAAATGAAGATTATATTAGGTTTTTATGTAATCCCCATTGTGTTTAAGATATGAACCATTTTAATTTTAAATGACGCGTTATGTTTATTTATTATAAGCGCAATAAAATGAAGTACTAGAAGTATACATATTGTAATATTACCTATTAGGTGTATCTAAAAACATTTGATTATAAAACTTTATCAATAACTGGTCTAAACATTAAGATGTAATGGTTTACAGTGTACCACATCAAACACAACAAGTTAAATAATATATTTAAATGGATCTATTTTTTGTAAAGTACCTAATTATTAGGTAACGATAAATTAACATAATATACATGAAACATGAACACTGAGCCAATTAACTTAAATATTTTTGATTACTGAGTTAACGACATGATTATTAAACACTACTGTATGATAAATTGATAAATAATATTAATATCACCCTACATTTTGTGGCATTTAAAACTGTTTTCTTCATTTCCTATTTTAAGCAACGCGGTAAATGCATTGGTTTTGCAATAGTGGTTGGGTGGTTCTAATTTGTTTCGTCACTTTGTCAGTATTGATCTTAAAGATTCGAAAGGGATGGAAGAAGGATTGACATCCATCTAGATCTATGTAAAAAAAATTCCCAGTGTTTTTCAAAATAAACAGAATGATAAAAACGAATGAAAGATTACCGAAAATGGTAATACTTAAACAGCTCCAGTTTTGGACATGTAATTCAAAAATAAAAAGTGGAAATTGTTTATGTTCAGCAAATATTTATAGTATCATTTTTAGACATCGAATAATTTTCAAAACATTTTTGCTCTTTTCGAGTTATTCATTACATATTATTTCAACTATTTTTCTAATAATTCAATTTTTATTTCTTGTTAAAATAAAGTTGATAATAATGTAATGTAAAGTTCGCTATAAGTTATCCTTACTGAAATTAAAAATTAAAAATATCAAAATATTTAAATTAATTGAGGCTGTATTTATTAGACATTTGACGATTTATTTCTATATGATTAATGATAAAATTGTTCTTGGCCAACATTTTTTATTTCTTGTTATAAATAAGCTTGAAAATAATGTAATACAAAGGTTCTTATAAATTGATCCGTTAGCAATTTCAGAATATCAAAAATACTTAATATGCTCAGTTTTTTTTCAGAATTTGACAAAATTGGTTATTTACAGTACAAAAACGTACTTTAAAATAACAATTTCCACTCACAGGATCTTAGCTATTTAATGGGATAATATTTATTCCAATAATAATTAGTTGGGTACTTAAGTATATTATTTATGGAAATGTATGTACGAACATCTTGAGAACGTCACATTTGCTATCATACGTATGTGTACATGTGTGTGTTGTACACATTTTACAAACGTAGGACATAGAAAATTTGCTTTAAAAACCCAATTTTATTTTGTTATCTTTAATATTAGAGTAATAAAGTAAATTATTCTATTGTCAAAGGTCAAGATAAGAACATCTTCTATATTTACACCTTAGATTCTAATGGTTGGTAATACAATTTTTAAGCAAGTTTTGAGTATGTAAAATATTATTATGAAAAATGTGCATAATGTAAAAAATTAATGTAACACATAATATACTTTTAATTGTCTGGTAAAGGTTATGCTTAATCTGGCTTATGTAGCTGACAACAAAAAATTGGATTTGCTGGACTCAAATTTGCTAAGTAAGACAATTATTTGTGTGTTTTCAAATTGTGAAAGACGGAATAGTGTGTCTAATGTCTATATTAGATATAATATGTTATATTTATTATATCCAATGCCCAAGTCCTTGAAACTAATGATGTATATTAACTTATAAAGAATACAGGTAATTCAAGAAATATTGAAAAAATCAAATCTTCCCGTTGATATATTCATTTATTTTGTCTTTTATTGCCAGCCGTGCAATGAAATTTAAAACACATATTATATTATTATAAGCTACCAAATATTAAAATAAGTACTATATATTTGTGTTTTGATTTAATTTAATTTGTACTCTACTTTTGTATAATTGTTGAGCTGTATAAGTTGTCATCTAAAGCTATGAATAAAAAAAAAAGTACTACATATAGTATTAGAGTACGATTTTATACTACGAGTATATTAAACAAATTTGAGTTAGGCTATTCAGTTTATAAATGATTTTTGTTGTACATATTTGTTTTTATAAAAACAGTCTTATGTAAATAAAAACAGAATAGGAGCCATAATATTGAGAAAAAGAACTGTGCAAGTCTGCTGACCTTCCTACTCCTGCACTACCCCAGCTGCATCCGCCTCTGTAGGTTACCTACCTTATTACCAATAGAAAAAAACATTATTTATACAAATATAAATAAATTATGAAATAATAAATATTCTTAGAATAGAGGCTAACATTGTCTTACATCGTCTCCGTTCAGAATTGTT